TCCGCTTTTGAGCTTTTTTCTCCTCTAACAACTCTCCTCAATTTCCAAGGTGGTTGGATACCGAACGGTCTTCTTTGCCGGCATAAGGGATCCAATTCTTATTGCTGGAATTGACAAATTTCTAGACGCTGCAAAAAATTATGTAAGGGAAATGAATCCAGACATGGTCAAGCTGGGAGGTCAAATCATCTTCCATGTCTATGGCAAAAACGGGGTTATGGGATTATTAGAAGCCTCAAACCATGTATCACACGAGCTGGCCATTCTGAGTGAAGCTGTTGCTCCGAATCAGACACTTGCAAACTCCATGTCATCAACGGCTCGAATTGCTCTACTGCATTCATCATACGAAGTAAGAGGGAATATTTAGGTTGTTCTATCAATCCATACTTACATTGACCCTTTTTTGTCGGCAGGGACAAATTGGCACAGCTGGCAACATTGCATTGCCTATAACACCATTGGAGCAAATACTGGGAGAAGTCTGTGCTTTTGTAAGTATTTCTAGTCTTGAACTCGTTTTGGCAAGTTTGTCATGTCTCAAGTCGTGAACTCATTCAATTGTCATTTTCAATCTGTATATTTAGAATATTTACCATATTATGCAATGCGAGGGGAATGAGCATATCGACCTCTTTCCAATAAAATACTACCAAGTCGGGGACGCTTCCGCTAAACGACCAGTAGTGAAACCCATTGCAGTACAAGAAATGGTAAAAATGGTTAGAAAAACCAAGTGGATCACGTCTCTCACAACCACTGATTTCTCCCTCTCTCAATCAGTTTCTACCCCCTCTACCACCTCCAATTCGCAAAAACCGAGCAGTCAATGGTCCCATTCGACTTCGGGACGTAGCTCAAATCATTCGATCCAAGAATGCTGGTCCCTTCGAGTTGACAATCGATGTCATGTTTCCGTCCGCAACGGAATACCATGCAGTTAAAAGGCTGAATATTCTCACTCCAGAACTATACAGCAGACTGTACAACACTCCAATTGAGAAGCTGATTTTCGTATGGTGGGAACAAGCTTGGGCTCTCAAAGTCACTATTCCACGGCCGAATAGTCAAGGGTCTGTTGTAAGTTATAGGAGTTTGTATTTGGTGTTTCCAAAATCTTCACTAACCAATTCTCAAAATGTAGGGAGAGACGGACGTGCTTGGAGCACAGCAGTATGCTCCATTGATTGATATTGAGTTGCCAGGGTACACTGAAGAGCAATCCGCCAGTTTATAACATCTTGATATCAGACTGTAAGCCATGGTTTTTTGCCCAAGTTTCTTTTAAATAGAAAAATATAAACGATTTACCGGCATTTCGCGATATTGGCTGCCTTTTTCTGTATGTCAATCGATGTGGGCAAGCAAACAAAGATATCGCGGCAGATTTGGAAACGCTTGAGGAAAACCAGCAGCCGTTTGAAACAACACACGAAATGACTGCACATCCACTCGACTAAATATCATGAGAAGCCACCATCTCGCTTCAAAAGGGATCAACATCTTCATCCTCATTAACAAAGCATACATGCGTCGAAAATTGTCCTGACTTTTTGCAACGGGCGACAGGTGGCTGAACGAATCGAACTACAATCATGGAATCTGGAGGAGTCTCTCAAACTTTGTAAATGTGAATTGGGAAGTCGAAGATTCATTCGGGAGCGAACAAGGTAAGCCAAATTTTCAAGAGTTTGAACATCACCTGTTGTGATGCTCGCATTCCCATTGTTTTCGAACAGTATCATACTACTCAAGGTGAATATTAATTCGAACAAAACATCTTGACTGAAACAAGATTGGAGTCTGAAATCTCTCTCATTGGTCGCGACAGACGCATTGATTCATCATCCAAGGAGTCATCAAGAACTAATATGATGCAAAACCAGATGGTGATGCTTGTGAAACTGAGATTTATCATCTTCGATATCAGGTATATCTCTTGAAAATTCAGTTGCCAGCGAAAACAAGTTGAGCATTACCACCCCAGTACCAGATGGCCTTTTGCCTGTATCTAACATCTATTTCCCGTCTCTCATTTACAATAATGCAGACGAAACACACCACATGTTGGATTACCACTTTCTGGATTGCCCCGTATTCATGTCAAAACTGACGACCAACTAGCACATTGCAATGACACATTCACGTCATTCACGTCAAGACTATAAAAACGGAACAAGAAGACACCATCATGTACCTCACTCAACAAGTGCATGGACTGACTACTGAGCGAAATCACTTGATTGCTCAAGTTGGTCAACTGCTTCAACTGGAGTTGGGAATGAGACTGGTGTTCCATTGACGGCAGAAATGGCTGAAAATGAAGGTCTGGCATCGACTCCACGGCAGTTCTGGTTTAATACTTGACGATGTGCTGATTTTCTCCTCCGATACCCAAATTCGCGGCATCCTGGTGCAAGAATATCATTGAGATTCACATTTCATAATGGTAACAGCTTAAAAATTAGGATCTTACCGGGGTTTCGCTGTTAGTTTGGGTAGTCGCAGGTAAGTTTTGAATGCAACTGACCGTACAGGGTCCCAAAATTAATCAACAAATGCGATTTTGCAGATTCGAGACAGAAGAGTCGATGAATATTATGCTGTTGCAATTTCGACGGAGCGGGTCTATCTTTCTTGTTTGTCTTTTTTCATTACTTTATTGGGATTTAAATACTTAGAAACCACTAAAGTTGCTAATTTCTCCCCATATGTCACTGGAAATACGTTTGCGTCAGCCCCTAACCGTTTTGGCTCATGCATTCTAGTGGGCCGCTTTTGGCCGCAAGCTTTTCTCGCTTGGGTGACTCTCCGATTTGTATATATACTCTACTTGTTATTGATGTTTCCGTCCTTCGGGACATCTACGAAAATTGGAACGATACAGAGAAGATTAGCATGGCTCCCTGCGAAAGGATGACACGCAAACCTTGAGTGGATAGCCCTTCGGGGCTTGTTTTTTCCCATTAATTTCGCGTGTCTTCATTAAAAAGAAATTCTAGACTGTCTGAGCTCTCAGCGAACTGGCGGGGGTTCGCGGTAAAAAGCAAAGTCATTCAGGATATTTTTTTTGGCAAGCCTTGCTCACGAAAGCAACTCCACGGTGCTACCTTGATAGTATCAGAGGAATCTCTTAGCATGCAATGGTGCAGCTCACGTAGTGGTGCAGTTGATTGTTGCATGTAATGCGTATGATTCAACGGCTAGTGCACCAGTGAAGCACAAACTGCCTACTCCAAACTGTCGTCTTCTTCAAAGGTGGAGGCGATATTGAATACTATAGCTGGCCTTCATGCTCTAGCGTGGCGTGTAAGACTCGAGCGCATTCGCTTCTGATTTTCGATGTTTAATCCGTGGCGGCGACATTGCTCCGATAAAAACGGCAAGCATTGGTCCTGTTTGCAACATTGTATCAGGTTTGACTACCTGAGTGAAAAAAATTCAAAAAACTAACCGAAGTCTTGACGGGATCAAGGAAGTAAAGGCTTTAGCATGTCTTCAAAGCTCCTTCATGACAGCATAATCCCAACACACCACGCCATATACCATCATTCGGGAAAGCTATTACTCAAGTCCAGAAAGGCATTTCGGGTATCTCCTTGATCTCAATAAAGCAAACTACCATTTGTCAAAGCGTGCTATGAAAATTGATTGTCAACAAACAACAAAGCCCCTCTCAACAAATGTGCTGTAAGATAGCCTCGAGCACCAATGCCGAGTTGCAATCAACAATACTTTGCTTTGTCTTTTTTCTTCCTTGAGTTGCAAGGCAGAGCTCGTTATATGCACTCTGAGATCAATCGAGTCCTCCTCCAGAGCTACAGACATTGTAGTCGTTACCGAATCATAAGGGAGAGTTAGTTCAACTCGTATGAAGCCAAAAAGAGAAAAGGTATATGTGATAAGAACACATGGGCCTTCTTTGTACTATCATCAATCACATCTGGTATCGAACGGTCTCCAATAGCTCGCCGACGATTACAATCCGGTAACAAACAATCTCTTCAAGGGTACACATCAGCACGTTTATGTAAATGTCGAATTGCGTTATTAAAGTCCTGTTGGAAAGAGAACGGAAAGTCAGCAAAAAGCTTTATTTATCACTATGAGGCTTCCATACTTTAAAGCATCCTCCCACTTGGCATAATGGATCAATCACCGTCCATCTCATACTTGTACTTAAACTTCACCAGGAATAGCGTCTAAGCTTTCAATTACTTTCGCACCATCTTTGTAAAAGTCACCCTTCAAAATGAGTGATGGCAAGATGCCTCATCGCAGGTTCATTATCTGCGTCTTGACGTCAAACCATCGTGAAATCTTGAGATGCGTACATGCGTTCTCTCCTACGCACAAAGATAAAGAAATCCATGAGAACGGAGTAGTATCAAAATTCAGACGGATGCTAGTTCCACAATACATGCTGAGCTTGAAAGTGCTATGCACGTAGGAAATATGCACATAGTCCATCAGCTCGTAATCGAATACTGTTAGAGACAGTAAGAGCACATTTCTTTCCTCCATTCACGGGAGCGTGGCAAAAACGAGAGCATGTATCGTATACTAATGCTTGCTAGCAAGGCACTCCTTCAAAGACTATGCTGATCAGGATGCAGAACTCACATCCAAAAGCCACGTTGTGTCTAATTCTTATAAACGCCTAACCGAAAAAACAAGCCCCGGAGGGCTATCCACTCAAGGTCTGCGGGTCATGCTTTCGCAGGGAGCCAGGTTAATCTTATCTGTATCGTTCCAAGTTTCGTAGAGGTCCCGAAGGGACGATCTCTAGTACTGAGGAGAGTCACCCAGACGTATTGTCAATAAATTTTCCAACACTAAAATCCAAGAGTTCAAACGTTAAAATTAGCTACCAGCGACCGCACACCATTCTTGCAGAGCATACTCCTAATATATTTAGTGATATTAACTATTTCCACATCTACTATCGATTGATGGAATTTGAGCTCTACTACTTGGTCCTTGCTGTCTAAAGAGTTCACTTAACGTCGAGTGACTCCTAATTCCAACACTTTACCATATGCTGCAGCAAAGTCTCTGAAAAAGGTCTTCGCGAAACAGAATGGTTAGGTTCAATCGCGAGTTGCCAAAGTGATTTTGTGTGCAGTGAAGCTTACCTCTTGATTGTCAGCGTATATTTGGCAATACTTTTTAAACTCTGGATCTTCAACTAGTGCCATATCAGATGGCAGCATCATTTCTCCTTCGTCGTTCTCATATTGGAACTTGCCGTCCCCTGTTGCATTGCCAAATGGGTCACCTTAGTTTCATGTCAAATGTAGGGTCGAAGACACCTCATATATGTCGATGCACCTTCTGCGTCCCAAACAGCCCGCACAGCAAACCCCAAACAAAATATAGCTTACAAACTAAATATAGCTTACATTCTTTCGGAAACCACTTTTCATAAATCAATCCATGAAAGTACTCGTTCGAGAACTCGGTAGGATTCTCTACCCATTTGCCTTCATATCCCGACCATGCTTTATGACATCGTCCAAGAACATGTGCGCCACTTAGCGCGACAATCTCTCGATCATTGAATCCCATTCTGTAGAATGTTGCTCGTAGTTTTTCAGGGCCGAAAGCTCCATCGGGTAATTTGCCGTTTTCAGGTACTTGGGATGGTTTGACTTTGGTCGCTTCGATGTCTATTCTGCCTGATCTCCACGGTATCTTGGGGCCTCCCATCTGTGATTAAAGTAGTTGGTTTGAGTGGATGTTGAAGTTGATGTAGAAAGGACACCAAGGTTAGATGAAGCACGTTCTGTTCAAGAATTCTAGCAAATCCAAACACGTACTGCTTCAACACAAGTAGCACCTGCCAGAGTCCACAAATCACCTCGACTAATCCAAGGATGTCGGCTTCGAACAGTTTCCAAGAAGGCTCTACAACAGATTCAAACAAAGTTCAGGTTCGCAGCTTCCACGAAGTACGAGATTCACATTCCTGCATACCTTGCTATTTGAAGTCCATTGTTCTCAGGGTCTGTCGATTCAGGTGCGAAACGCATCGACGCGCCGTTGGAACCACCAGTTTTCGTGTTCTTGTCATATGTGCCTATCAAAACAAGGCAGATATGGGATTTTGGTGGGAAGCGATTCCATATCGTCAACAAAAATTTAAGCTTTTGATGGATGTTTTGATCATCCACCAAGCTGACAATACACGTCTGAAAACGAACAAATCACGTCATATCGAGGATCATACACTCACCACTAGCATGCCATGCCAGTCTCACGAGTATCGGTCCCAGTGACCCATCGTCATAAGCTTCGTTCTTCATGATGCTCAAAATGTCCTTTTTCACGGCTGCATAGTTCTGGAAGTAGCCTTCTAGCTGTTGAGCGACTGTCATGTTTGCTTAATGCACCTAGTACTTGGTTGCTGCTTGGTCTTTCTTGGGCTGGTTTTCTTTATCTGCGACAATTTGTGACAAGTTTATGTGGGTGAGAGTAGATCTTGAGATGAGTGAACGTGAAGTTTATTTCCTGGCATGGACAAGAATTAATTACTTTCTGCTAGATGGACGCAAAGGTAGAGAACTAGGCCTACCGTCCTAGATCAAGTTTGGCTGTTAGATCCGAAGTTGAACATCGGAGAGTGGACCTTGCTAGTTTTCTTTGCTCAATCAAGCAGTATATTTCATTCAAATCTCGTATCTCAAACACATTTTTACAACCAAGCTGGAAATCATCGAATTTTTCATAGCCTAGTGGTTTGAGAGCCAACTACGTTCCACCACCCACTTACTTCATCGTTGCCATCACCTTCAATCCTCGCGAGTTTCCTCGCAACCATATCCAGGAGCTGACCAATACGGCTGTCAAGATGTCGTGCATACAATAACTTGCATCCTTCAATTTGACGACCGACCTCACAGTGCTTTGTGAGTAAAGTTGGATATGCTCATATCTTGAATAGAAAACCGAATGACAGTCAAGATATCCAGCTGTTTGTATGTGCTCTTGCTTTGGTGTATCCACGAAGTAGTCCAGTTCTGATAGGTGAGAGCGTGTCGAGATTTGGCAGTGTGTACTTCCGACAGACCTCCCACCAACGAAAAAAGCTTTAACTCAAGAATTCATGTTCCGAAACTGATGAGATCTATTCTGCTACTTTCTGCTATACAAAAAAAAACATCTAATGGCATTGCTTATAATCTTCCTACTCAACACGTACTCCTGACTTCACTACTTTCACAACCCACTCAATAATACACTATATGCAAAATCACTTTACTGTGACGAAGGAGTTGTGGGAGAAGATGGCCCAACAGCACCTCCGTTTTGTTGTGTTGGGTCGTCATAGTAGCCAAGAGTTTCGCGTTCTCGTTGAAACATGGCCATGTAGCTGTGGATGCTTTTCTCCATGTAGGTGCCTAGAAATGGGAGAGGAGTGGGAGTGAAGTGAGCATGAGGTTGACAGGTGGGAGGAAAGAAAGGTGGTAAACTGTAGTAATGAATTTCGACTTGAGATGTTACCGATTTTGATAGCTTCTTCATGCATTTTGTTGAATTGGCTATTTTTGGAGGTGGGAGAGAGTGTTAGTAAGTCTGCAAATATTTCATTCGCAACAATTCAACCACCGAAAAAAGCAGAAGCAAAAGGAACAGAAATTATTGCATCCAAAGCAACAACGACAAGCATCGCAGACACTCGCCCTCAACTGACTCACCCTTTGTAGAAATCAGCTTGTCTCCGCCCAGCCTCAATCACCTCTTTCGCCCTCGTCAACTCTGCACCCAACTCACTGCACCTTTCCCTCAGCAAATCCCTCTCCCCAGCCAACTCATCAATCTGTCCCTTCAAGCCCTCAACCTCTTCTTCCTTCCCGCTTAACTCGTCCCTCACACCCGCCAATATCTTTTTCGCCAAATCCTGCTGTGTGGCGACCCCATCCTCATACACCTTCAACGCATTCATCTTTTCACCCAATTCAGCACTTGTGGCTTCATGTGTTGCCACAAGTGACTCGTGCAGTTGCGTCATTGTTGATAAGCGAGCCAAGGCATCATCACGAGCCTGTTCAGCGGCTGTGAGATCCCGTGTTTTGGTATCAAGGCTGGATTGGGTTGAAGCGAGCTGGTTTGCGAGTTGGGTATATGCGATGTCGAGGGTATTGTATTTGGATGTGCATGAAGATGATGCGGTTTCGAAGTCAGCAAGTCGGGTCTTGTATCCTTCGATTTCGTGCATTGCCGCTTCGTATCGAGTTGTATGGCATTCAATGAGTGCGTCCTTTTCGGTGTTTGCTGCTTCCAAATCACGTTGGGTGTCTGATGATGAGGTCTGTAGTTGCTGTAGGTCGACATGCAACGCTTTGATTTTGTCCTTGGCAGTTCGGATGGCTGCTGTGAGGTCTATGGCTTGCATGAGTGCATCATGGTACTTGTTGTGGGCATCATCAAGGGCTTGTTTATACCCAGCGATTGCGTTATTTACGAGATGATTGTTGCGACGGATGATGGGCTTTCGGTATTCTCGTCGTGTTCCGTTTTCAGTGAGGAAGAATCTTGCTGTATAGTTTACGCAGTATGAGACTTTCTCTTTCCTGTTTGGCTATAGTGAAAAGAAAAAGGTTTTATGTTAGTATTGTGGTTTGACAGGTGAGCAAAACAAGGGCAACAAAAATATATATATATATGAGAATCCATATATATGAATCCAAGTTCAAACGCATACCTGATGTTCATGATTCGTATCGCTAGTCTTCATAGCAGCACCTCCATCTTCGTCATCATCATAACTCCCCATTCGTTGATGAGCAATGACACCGCCATTGTGGTCGTCTTCACCATCAGTGCTTCGTCGGCGTTTCTTTGGAGACCCTGCACCAATAGCACATATCAAGAAATCATTCCTCCATCCATAAAAGACAAATCCAGCATTACCTTGACCTTGATATTCATTTGCAAGCTCATCACCACCTTCCAAAGAAACCCACATCAGGTGTCAACCCCCTCAAAAGCATACTGCACTCATAATACATTACCTTGAGGAACAGCATTCTCCATAACATATTGCATATCATCTGTAAACTCGAATTCTTCTCCAGCTTCGTCCAGTGGTTTGCTTGCATGGAGCACGTCAAACTATATACAAGAAATGATTTAAGATAGGACGCACGAGTCACTGGTGCAATGGAATGGAGAATATTCATACCTCTTCTTCTACCTCGCAGTGGTGGGATACCATACTATATGATGGATGTAGTGGGTATCTCTAGATTTGCCTGGAAGCTTGGATTCTATGTCTTGATATTGGCGTTTGTGTTTTGTGAAGTTACGAGTGAGTTTGCGTTTTTATTTACAGGTCAAGCTGAGAAAAGAGAGACGCGTATATTATCATCCTATAAGCTGTATCATTCGCGAAAACAATGCTATTTATGATCACTCTCTATATTAAAGACCACTATTTTCCACCTCACACTTTTCTCAATATAAACAGCGTACACTTCAATCAATATCACCAAAGTATCATCCATTCAACACGCTCCTCACTTTGACTTTGGCATCCTCATAATCCTGTACGCCAACATCCACTCCGCCCATCTAATCGGCAACACACTCAACATCCAAAACACCAACGCACCAGCCCCATACCACAGCACAGGTTTCAACGGATTCTTGATCAGTGCTTTAACAGTCACACTAGCATACTCTTCCACAGGTGTTCCTCGTGGCTTTTCAGCTCCTTGAGCGACACTAGCTATGAGATAGAGCAAATGTCCTTTGATGGCTGGTGCTGAGTGGTAGTCTGATGTATCAGAGAGTGTGTATGGGTGGTAGCGGAGAATGTTTGCAGAGTTGGGTGTTGATATGCCGCCTATTTGGATGTTTGACTTGGAGGTTGAGTTTCTCTGTAGTATGGTTACGAATTTTTGGCTTTTTTTGAATCGGCTTTTTCCCTTCATATCTTAATAGTAGACTGCGCTTACCTGGTGAGAGGACTGTCACCTTGATGTTGAAGGGTGCTAGTTCCATTCGGAGGGATGCAGATAATGCGTTTAGGGCTGCTTTACTTGATGCGTCTAGTATAGGATATGTACGAGTGAGCGAAAGAAAAAAAAGGGTCAATCGTGACTAATTCCAATGTTGCGACTGGCACTCCTCCAACAACAACTTTTACTCACAAGGAGCAGTATAAGGCATAGCCTGAAACCCAAGCATCGACGACACATTCACAATATGTCCTACGCCAGCAGATATCATATGTGGAGTAACAGCTTGAATCAGTCGTAACGACCCGTAATAGTTTAGTTCAAAGATTTGTTTGATGTCGTCGATTGATGCTTCGATTGCAGGCTGGTACACCATTGACTGGCCAGCATTGTTGATCTGCGTGAGAGATGTACGGTGAGATTATGTTTTATGAAGAGCCAAAAACACCTTACTGTCAGTCCAGCATGATTGCCAGATCATCATCACATCACACAATAACACTTACCAGCATATCAATCTTTCCAAACTGTTGAATAACAGTCGATACAGCTTTGTTTACGCTGTCTTGCTTTGTCACATCAAGCTGTAGTTTCACGAATTTCTTGTCATCCAACGAGTTCATGGTTGAGACAGTTCGTGATGTGGCAACGACCTTCCAGCCAATTGAATCGAACTGTTTTGCGAGTGCACATCCGATGCCGCCTAATAATATAGAATAATATAAGGGAATGCGTCAGAGATGGTTGAGTAGATCGTTTCTTGAGCAAAAATTGACATGAGATCAAATGTATAATGCAACCAATGTGGTGATCACGTACCATCAGAACAGCCTGTAATCAATACCAATTGCATGACTTGTTTCCTTCGATTATAAGCTTGCAATTGAGTTTGCTAAACTGCTAAACAGGAAGAGGAAAACACACAAAATGGTGCTCAGCTTCCAAACATCAGTGACATCAACAACGCGTCAAATACGTTCATCCGTACGTACTTCAACGAAACATGAATCCATATGCGTTCTATACAGCCGCATGCTACCGTGTCATCACTCCGTCAGAAAAAAGTAGCAAAACATAACACCAGCAATACAACCTATTTCACCTAGGGCCTTATCGACATACAGCCATACTGGCATACCAACTGCCACTATGAAATTCTTCTCCAACCTCCCAGACTCGGACCACGTCCCGTACAAATTCCTCGTCGCCGAACCACACTTCAAACAAGTCGTCAAGTACATGCGCACTGAAGACTATATCGTGTGGGGAAGTGTCGCCACCCTGTTTCCGCTAGCTACTGTCTTATGGGGTGCGTATTGATACTAGTGCTTCGAGCCTCAGTTGGGTTGGTAGACATGAACATTTGTACTGACAGTGTTTTTGGGGAACTAGAACGCTCATCACCAACCCTCCATCCACGGTACATGCCACGAATCATGGCCGTCTCGATACCTGTTTACTTTATTGCTGGATTCGTCGTTGCTGCTCAGATGCCACTATGTATGTTGTTGGTGCTCGTTATGTCTATGAGCACATTCAAGTCGATGAAAGCTCTTTTTTTGTTTTCGCCAAGGCATCATCGCAGAGTCGTATTGCCATACTATTGCTAACGCTCTTCTCATTCCACAGACCGATTCTGGGGATGGAAGGAAAACGGTATTGAAGCTACTAGATGGGAAGCTGAACAAGCTAATGCTGCTCCTCCAGTAAAGAAGGGATGGAGTGATGCTGATTGGTAGTCGGGTTAGTTAGTTGAGATAGTAGTTAGTGGCAAGAAGGTACAAGAATATTATAAATACAGAAAACGATAAAAGAACACGCTTCATGATCTTTTGCCACTGTGGATGTGAACGTCGTGAGTACACTGAAGATCTGAACGTTGTGAGTGGTTTGGGTGAGTATGCCAGAGGCGTCAATGGATGCCCGTTACACGAGAGGACGAGAGTCGACGAACCATGGTTTTGTGGTTATTTGGCAATTCTTTGTTTCTATTGCGTTCATTAACAAAAGGGGAAGATCATTACAAGCTCTCCATTAATCGCCAACTCTCAACCACCCTCACACTCCTAACTCATCACTCCTCACTCGACTCATACCAACCCTCCCAACTCAAAAGATAGGTATATAATTCGAAATACGATCCTTTTGCTGCTGAGCAATACATTCTGCAATCCATACTATATTCCTGATTTCCTGTTCCTTGAGTTTCAGATACGAGTAAAACACTCCATAATGAAATTGTCGATGGAAGGACACCTTGTTCAGGAATACTTCATGTTCAAAGAAACGATCTTCGAGGGAGCGGTCTGAGCCTGTCGGAATGTTGAAAAAGTCGCGGTATTCCTATATAGGTGTGTGTAATAAAGTAGAGAGGGAGTTAAGGTATTGAGTATGTTGGATGTAAACACGCAAGGAACTGACTGTGACGAAAGTGGCAAAAGAAAGTGCAATATAACAGATTTGATGCTCGCACTTGCAGATATTCACATCACATCACAAACGGTCACCAACACTTACAGGATAATTGTCAAGCGCCAATCTCACTTGATCAACATCATCTGCTCTAGCCAATTTAGCTAGTCCATCAGGATACAATTTACCACTGATGGGCAACAATTTCGCACGATCATCTTTACTCAATTCGGTGTTGAATGAATTGATTGTGATGTTGATGACTCGTCGATCTGATTCAAACTATGAATTTTATGGGTAAATAAAGTGTGAGGTTATATCTTGTTGTCGAATGATGAGCAAAAGGAGACGTCAGAGTTATAACAGCATCACTTACAGCGAGAATCTCTCCCATAACTTCCTTTGTTGCACCACCCAGCTTTTCACAATAAGCATGGAAATCTTCCAAGTAGGCCTTGTATAGTGTATTCCTTATAATCTCGATATTCATTTCATCCAAGTCTTGTGCTGAGAGGCATTTTTCGAAATAGGGCGCTATAGAGTGTGATAGTGGTGAGTTAGTAAAAAGTGGAATAATAAATCAACAAAGTGGCATTGAATCGAACAGGCCAGTCCAAGGCAAAAAACCGCATCGTTCATTCCGATAATCTCAACTCACCAAGAGGAGTCTCAACAAGCACAGTATTGAATAATTCAGCCACATTAGTAGCGACACATAATGCAGCGATTGAATCAAACATTCCTAATGGATGACACCTTTCTAGTAATTCATGAGTGTCTCGTTCGTGTAGAGTGCCGGTAATCAGGAGGATGACATTGTCAATCATATATCCATATCTAGGGAGTACATCGTATAAGTCATGAATTCTGATTATAGGATCGAGGAAGATCGACCAAAAACAGATATGCAATGGATCATAATAACACAACATTGACAAAACCGACAATCACCATCTTACGTGATAAAGTCCAAGAAGGTAGATAACGGAGGTACAGCATTCACCCTCAGATATTCGAATTCAGCAACGAGTTTCTCTCTACACTTGTCGGATATAGTGGTGGTTGCTAGTGGAGATGCTTCGTTTTGGAGGAAATTGCCATAATCTGTTGATGCCAATTGTAATTTCAAGTCTGTTTAAATACGGTGGGTAGTTTGAGTTAGCAAATAGAGAAGTAATAAATCAAGTAACAATTAAATTATAGTCTTGTATATGTACGGTACCTTCGAGTGTCTCGCATTGAATCAAGTTTGAATAATTGGAACTAGATAGGATTCCAGCACGGAAACCACGTATGACACCTTCTAGATACCCATCTTCTGCGTTGAAAAATAGGGCCTCCATACTTGAAATATAATGATATTGACGGTAGTGATGTTGGTTGCTTGTAAGTGCGATTGTTTTGGCGTGACGGCATGAACTTAGATATGAAAGAAACACGTCCGATTTGAACTGTACAGCGTGATCTTGAACGTCAAAAAGTCGTATTCAATAAGTCAATTGAAAACTGACCAGGCAACGCAAGCTTTGCATGATTACGCGTGTGTTTATTCTGTTGCTAGAAACGACTTGTTATATAAAAACTACGTTCAGGCTACATTCCAGTTTATAAGTTTACGGAATTTTAGCCTTCATACCTAAACAAATCCCCTTCCGCCAACAAAAATAGCATCTGCGTGTGATCTATGTTGTATCATGAGCTTGATAAGACGCTTTGTTGGGACCATAATATATTCTTTCGCATACCCTTTAATTTCAGATCTTTGAGATGGCCGTTACGATAGGCAACATCTTGGCTTGTGAATCAGGAAATCCTCCACCACTAAGTTTGGAGTGTACCTATTTGTATTGGGTTGAGTATTCATGATGCAGAACAGTGCACATGAATGCCACCATCAGTATGCTTACGAGTGTCCCGTTGACAGTGACTTCGAATTTGCCTAAGATGTGAGTTCACAGTTAGCAATCAGTTTCAAGGCCCTTCGTTTTTGGAAAGTCACCTGTGGCGGTAGGTGTAGCAGTTCCCTTGATCTAGTTGGGAATCGGTTTCAAATGAGTGCATGATCTCGGGATGTGAAGATTTGAGATCAGGCGAAAAAAAGTACGACATTGAGGGGAAGCATTTCAAAATTTGAAGCACCACGACCTCAGGCACTTACATCAATAGTAGGGAACTGGGTTAAGAGCTTGTTCTTGAAGTCATTGAAGCGAGCCGCGTATCCTCTAGTGATTATACGTGGTCAGTTCATGGTGATCATTAACAACCAAAAAAAGCAACGATTGGAATAAATTAAAGTATCATACTACATACCATGCTCCACAGTAGACAACATCTACGACGACGGCGTTTGAGCTTGATGCCATTTTTGGTTGGTTACTGAATAAGTTTTTGGTAGGGCCTCGTGTGATTTGTGTTTTGTGATTGTCTCGAAGTATATGGGTGGTCAGCAACACAATCCATTATAAATCACTAGTAAAGTACGCGTAAATCAGGTGTCTGATATCAGCTACACCATGAATTACGCAGTTCCGTTGTCTCTTTCACGTGAAGTGAGCGAGGATCTCAAAGATTCAAACCAAATTCCTAAACCACTTGTTCACGTTCAAAACCAGAAAGCTTTTCGGTGAATATGTGCTAAATATACACGTGTAGTGAATGGGACAATACGTTCACGTACTTGTAACCTGCCAAGTCACCTCCCATCGTTTTCAAATATCAGGCAACGTCAGCTCAGACAAACCGTTCAGAGTAAACGAGGGGACGAAGCTTATCGTATTCAACGCTACTGCTGCTCATTTCTAGTAAGTCCATATTCTACTTAGCTTGATAACAGCACTGTACACGTTGCTCGATGATGATGGAGTTTTGAGTTTACGAGCTTGACAAATGGGGATGATGAAACGTATCAGATGATGGAAACAATTAACATACCTCAAACTTGAATCATTCACATCATTGCTCTTCGTTCCTTTATTCCATTCCACGTCAGAAGCTTGGAACATTTGAAGAGGGGCGAAACATTACTCAACATTTTAATCTATCCAGACATTCAACTATTATTAGTAACAAGTAGCTCTGGAGCTTGGAGCCTTCTTAGCATAGATATATTAGCGAGTTCCTATTATATCCCACATTTAAAACCACAATGGAGGAAGTCGTGGCTGTTGCTGCTACTCCTCCTGCGGAACCCATGGAGACCGATACCCCAGTCCAGCCTGTCCCTGATGGTAATTGATTATATTGATCACATTCATTTGGTTGATGGTCATTGAATGACTGACAACGTGGCCCGAGTTGTTGGCGTTCCGACAATCCAAACATATTCACATGTCACATACACACTGACACCTCAACACACATATTTATTCTAACCCATTACTCGAATGTAGTAATGCATCTGGGCTCTGCAACAACAGAAAGTCAAGAGAAAGTACTTGAAGAGAAAGTCTACGAATGGAAGATTGAATCCTTTTCTAGTCTGAGACAGTTTGAACGTACTCATTCCGATGAGTTTGAATGTTATAAAAGTAAATGGTACGATATTTGGCGTGATATTGAGTGTAGCGATTGATCTTGAATGAGTGGATTAGTAAATGATTGATATTGGTCGATCAGCGATCATACGTATTGTTGATGAATGATGGGTGATGATTTATGATGATGGAAGTCAAATTATTGATGACGGAAAGACAAGTGGTACTCAGCTTGATTGATCCGCAAGACACTACTTTCTTGTCACCCCCTCAATTGTCTAAAAAAAACTCACTACGTGTCTCCAATACAATAGGCGGATCTTACTATTCCCAAATGGCAATCGTCAAACAGAACAACTATCAGTCTTCTTGGAGTCTGTCGATGCTCCATTACAAGACAAGAAATCTTCATGGCACATGTGTGTCGAGTTTTCTCTAGCTGTTGCTAACCTAGAGGACGATACCATTTACAAACATCAATGTACGTATCGCATTCTGATTTATTCATGGAGGATCGTAACGGAGGGTGCTTGTTATGATATTTTCGGTTGTTTGAAGCTTCATTGATGACTTGTATCTACAGGCAAAAATGCCCGCAGACATTAGTAACGAGCTAATTCTATCCTCTCATTCATCACTCACTAGCTGCACGAATGAGATTCAATCCTACAGAAACGGATTGGGGTTTCAATCAAATGGTCAAGTTTGCTCAATTGACAATCCCAATTGAAAATTTCGCAAAGCCAATCTTGGAAAATGACAAAATGAGAATCGTAGTCTACATGAGAGTTGTCGAAGATCCTACTGGTGTTTTATGGCACAACTTTATTGAGTGAGTACACATTCGATAGTCTTTTCGGTTATAAGTTTTTTTTTGGTTGAGGCAACGAGCGCTGAATAATTTATTTCTCTGTAGTTATGATTCGAAGAAGGAAACAGGCTTTGTAGGTTTACATAATCAAGGAGCAACGTGCTATATGAACTCATTGTTGCAATCGCTTTACTTTACCAACTATTTCCGAAAGGTGAGTTTCTTTGACACCAAAAGAGAAAAAAGCAAGAATTCATGAGAATGATACTCACTGTGTTCAATTCCCCTCTTTCACAAGGCCACATATGCCATTCCAACTGATAGCGATGAACCTCAAAAATCCATTCCACTTGCATTACAACGTGTATTCTACAACCTCCAATTCTCAGATCAACCTGTCGGGACCATCGAATTAACCAAGTCCTTCGGTTGGGATGCTTTGGATTCATTCATGCAACATGACGTACAAGAGTTCAATCGTGTGTTGCAGGATAATTTGGAGTCCAAGATGAAGGTATGTGTGGGCGGATGGGGAGAGAAATAGGAGAGAGATCACGGAACGAAAATTCGGAGAAAGTGGGACTTATTTTGTTACATCTATCGACTTTTTTTTGTTTTGGTTTGCTGCCACATTCATCTTACCGAACAAAATCATGTTACTTTAGGGCACTCAAGCTGAAGGAGCCATAACGAGACTATTCGTAGGCAAAATGAAGAGTTACATTAAATGTATAGATGTACAATTTGAGTCATCTCGAGTCGAAGACTACTACGGTAAACAATTTTCTTACAAGATCGTTTTTTTTGTGCTTCTACTCACTCGTTGAATCTTTTCTAGATGTACAACTCAATGTCAAGGGATGTAAGAACTTACAAGAATCATTTGATAATTATGTATCTGTTGAAACTATGGACGGAGAAAACAAGTATGCTGCTGAAGGATACGGTCTACAAGTAAGTCCAGAATGAGAACTATGTGTAAAAAAATCACATCGGAATGCAATTTTTCATGACATTTTCTTTCCAGGATGCTCGCAAAGGTGTCATATTCAAGAGTTTCCCTCCTGTCCTCCATCTTCAGTTGAAGCGTTTTGAATATGATATGCAAAAGGACGCCTTGGTCAAGGTAAAATCATGCCATTCATCCTCTTTATCGTCGCCTTTCTTAGGCTCATCGGGATACCTTTTCTACTCAGATTAATGACCGTCATGAATTCCCACTGGAAATTGATTTGGATCAATATTTGTCTGCCGATGACGCAGATGTTGATCGTACAATTCGTCAACATTATCATTTGCATGGGTATGCAATACAGGGTTTCCATTTCCCGTTTTCCCGTTTTTTTTTTCGTCTTTGGATCTCACTACTCCCTTCACAGTGTTTTGGTTCACACTGGTGACGTCCACGGCGGTCACTACTGTGCCTACCTACGTCCACAAAAGCTAGGCAAATGGTATAAATTCGACGATGATCGAGTAGTCCCCGTACAACAAAAGGAAGTACTTGATGAGAACTATGGTGGTGAATCAGGTCCCACACGAACAGGTGGCAACAATCGAATGCTCAAGCGATTAACGAATGCATACATGTTGGTCTATATTCGTGAACAGAATCTTGATGAGATGTTGTCTGAGGTTACTGAGAACGATATCCCGTCTCATTTACGTACGTGGTTGGTGCAATTCTTTAGCATTCTACTTTCGTCCTTTTTCCCAGCTTTTGTGAATTGTATGCTGATTTTATCGTTATCTGATAGGTCAAAGACTCGAACAAGAACGAATGATTGCTGAGCAAAAGAGGAAGGAGAAGGAAGAAGCTCACTTGTTCATGTCTGTGAAGGTACCATATTAGTTCGTTCCGCGAATTTGTTGGTCTCGTTTGTTTTTTGTCTGCGCAGATTCCTTAACGAAACCGTACCGCTCAATAGATCTTGACAGATACAGATGCCAGAAACCACGATGCATTCGACTTGTGTAATTTCGATGACAAGTCACATGCTTTATCAAATCTGACTACTCATAAAGTGCGCAAGGACGAGATATTTTCGAAGTTCAAGGTAATGCTTTTGCAATTTTTATGCTTTTTTTTGTTGTGGAGTCTCTGGTTCTCATCTTAAAACGCTGGTTAGGCATTGCTCTGTCATCAAATGAATCTTGCACCAGAGCAAGTCAGGTTATGGACTATGGTCGGTCGACAAAACAAGACCGTTCGACCTGATGCTCCTATCGCAGAGACTGAATACGATAAGAGTATGTTGATAGAGACTCAGTAGTGGTCTTTTTTTGTTATTCCCTACTGACACTTTATACTGATATGTAGCTCTGGAAGCTATCAGAGAAAAGTATTCCAAGACTCAACCTGAACTTCGATTGTACCTTGAGCAACCTGATCCTGAATTGTTGCTTACTAGTCCCAAGGTAAGCCAAAGAAAAAGGAACAAAGGCAATTCGGGGAATACCTCAATCTCGCATTGGTTAATTTGTCTATTTGATTGACCATTTTGATGGTTTCTATAGGGACCATACTTTATGCCAAAAGAAGATAAAGAAAATGGTCAGATTATCATCTTTTTGAAGTTTTACGATCCCAAGAAGCAGAAGATTGAGTATGTTGCCCCACCCCTTGGTCTAATAGTTCGCTCCATCGACGTGGTTTTTGTTCAATCACTCATATACTCAATCTCCTTTTAACAAAACAGGTATGCTGGCAAACTGACTGTGAAATCACGAACCATGAAGATATCAGATGTCTTACCCATCATGGCTGAACGTGTCGACTTGCCACCGAACACACCGCTGAAACTATTTGAGGAAGTCAAACCAACCATGATTGATCCATTGAAGTTCAAACAGAGCTTTGCCCAAGCCGAGTTGGGTGATGGAGATATCATCTGTTATCAAAAGGAGGTTACTGATCAAGAGTAAGTTATTGGCTTAGAATTTGGCTTCAATTCGTTCTAGTAAGTTGTTTTATGTTCTCGACTAATCAATTCGTTTGCAATCATGATAGGATGCTAGAATTACCGGACCAAAATCTAGCACACGCCCCAGCATATTTCGACGCCATTCTCAATCGCATCACAGTCGCATTCCGACCCAAGACGGTTGGAAAAGATGTACCTTCCATGAAGGATGCCAAAGATCGTGGACCAGGCGACTTTGAACTAGTGCTATCCAAGAAAATGGCCTATGACTTGGTAGCACAAGCTGTAGCCGACAAATTAGGACGTATGGATCCCATGAAAATACGTTTTTCCAGCAATGCAGCAACCTCATCACCCAAACAAGTAATCAAACGACAAGCAAACATGACACTTCAAGAAATGATTCCACCACAATATCAATCGCAGATAACACCCATCCTTTTTTACGAAATCCTTGATATCTCTATTACCGAACTAGAAACAAAACGATATATAAAAGTGTGTGTGCTTGATCGCTCCATGAAGGAGCTTGCTACACATGATGTGCTGTTACTCAAGACCGCGAATGTGTCTGACTTGTTGGAGGTCTTGAAGGCTAAGATCAAACTTGATGATAAGGTCAAAGTTGACGAAGGGTCGTTGAGGCTGTATGAGGTTACGGCTCATAAGATTCATAAGATGTTTGCGAATGAGGATTTACTGAGTAGTATTGTTGAGTATTCGTATATTTATGCAGAGGTGTGTAGAGTGTTGGGACCTCTGATTGTTATCGACCAAAACGGGTTGTCGTATATCCATCAGAAGTAACTCTTTGGTTGATCTAGGAAACACCTCTAGATGAACTGCGAATGGCAGAAGGTGATAAGATTGTCAATGCCTTCCATTTCAGCAAGGACTTGGCACGAGCACATAGTATTCCATTCAGATTCGTGCTCAGAGCTGTAAGTTTCAGACTGTCCGAGCAATGTCTATCATCTCAATTCTCATCACTTTTTTTGTTACTCATTAGGGAGAAATGTTCAGTGCAACCAAAGCACGATTGCAAGCTCGCATCGGTATGAACGACAAGGACTTTGCCAAAGCCAAAGTTGTGTATGTTGGAACTGGTACCTTCCCTAAAATGACTCCTGTCGAAGATGGTAAGGATATGTTTTGAACAAAAAACCTGATCAATCCATGGGAACATGGCATCATCACCGTCTTGGAACTAACGCTTATTCCTCTGTCAACTAGGTGACATTCTATGTGACAAAGACTATGAAAAGGGTGAATGCATTGCTATAGATCATATCGACAAGTCACGAAATGCACGATCAGGCACGTTCGAAAAGGCAATCAAGATTTTTGGTTGATTTGCACACTCTAGACATTCCCACAAAAAGAATACCTCAAAGAAGATGAAGAAGCAAACACAGATGGAAGAGCAAAATATTATTACTATATCCTAAAAACGAGAAAAAAATGTGGAAGATGGAGGGTTTGTGTTTTAGTTTGTGGAAGGAGAGAGGTTTGAAGAGGAGAGAGAATTTGCAGTTGGGACCATTCTTATAAAGTTGTGATGGGTATTATTTTGTTGGATGGTTTTAAACATCTGGCCGAAATATACTTTTTTTCTTGCCGATAAGTATCATGTGGTTATGTGTTGGGTTGGTGAATGAGGAGTGGAGTGAGAACTGTGGTCCAATGGTTTGCAGCTTATGTTCTGCTTTTTGCCGAACTTGATTTCGATGATGAAATGCCAATGATGAGGCGTCTAATCAGAAAGGTATGTATTATGCTTTATACGCCAGGTCTAGTTCAGAACTGCTATTAATTCCATTCAATTCGTGTTTTTATTTTAGTTGTTTATTTTAGGTTCTGGCATGACTGTGTGGCTGTTAAATTGATGATTAAAGAGACGGTCGAGGTATTTGTGTTCAAAGTTTTTGATTTGTGTAGATGTGTGGTGGATTATTGTTGAACAAAGAAATCCTATTCTGTTGAGGAACATGCAATCTATCCATGACGAAATTTTTTTAGGGTTGGGCTAACTTTCTTCACATTTCCAGAATGCCTTGACGATAGACTGCGTCTGCACTCTTGTACAAGGGAAAGCCAAGACAAGAAAGTCGAGTAATGAAAGATTGCACTCTTTTTCTGGCATGACACACTCTCATGCCACAAATTTGGTGTCTCTGAATGTTGCGATAGTAAATGAGACGTTATGGCGTCAATGGATGATGTTAGAGTGTGTTGGATGAGTGATGTTGGTTGATACGTGGCTGCTTGGTGATATCATTGGTTTGTGATGAGGAGGCGAACGAGTAACAGGCATTCCTGAATCCGATTTTTGCTGTAGAATATCATCACTTTGTTTTGTGCTTTTTTTTGCAACAAAAGCTAACACCTCGTCGCATCTTTAGATGCATGTCACCATTCCCAAATCGAAAATGTCAACCAGATATAATTGCCAGCCTTTTTCGATGCTCCTGTACAGGACAATATATGTTCGTGGCGTATTTGTCGAGTCTCCCTCTCGCATTTGCTAATCTAGACGATGTCATTTGCAAACATACGAATTGTGTATGTTGGATTGAATCATTCAAGTAGGACTTCAGTCATATTACGATTTTCCGGGTCTTGATGGTACCATGTTGTTGGGAAGGGTGACAAAAAATGCTGAAGGTAACGTCGTCATGCACAACGAGCTTATTGCAAGTGACATAAGTATTAGACGCACCAATTTGGTTCAATTCTACAGAAACGGATTTTCTTTTCTCTCCATTTTGAAGGACCTTGACCAACATGCAAATTACATTCTAGTAGATCAAGCTGAAGGAGCCATAACAAAACAATACGTGGGCAAATGAAGACTAATTATCAAATGTATACATCTTAATCTTAAACGTGAGTCATCTCGAGTGGAAGAACATTACGCTGAATTCATGTTGCAGACTTTACTCAAGTTTTTTGTAGCATCTTCTAAACGTTTCAATCTTTTATGGATGCCCAACTCGATGTCACAGGATGCAGGAATTTCAAAGGATCAATTGACAATTATGGGCCTGTTGAAACTATAAATGGAAAAAACATGTATGTTCCTGAAGGTGGTTGTCTGCAAGTAAGCTTGGTGAATGTTGTTCGCAGAAAAAACCCATCTGTCGGTTCAATCGAATTGCATCATTGTTTGGGATGCTTCACCATTTTCTTCCTCTTCTTCACCTTCACTTGGAGCGTTTTCAACACGTTCTGCACAGTCATAGCTTGACCAAGATAGAATTGTACAAATCGCATGTTGGTGTCTTGCTGACGTTGCTGGTGGAAGAGAGAGGTTTGAAGAGGAGAGAGAAGGAGGGGAAGGAGGTTTAGTTGGAACCAGTATTGTAATGTGATTGATGTTTTTCTTGGGTGTTTAATGTAGTTACATCAACTGGCCAAAGTAAATTCGTAATAGTATTCTATGGTTTCTACAGATTACGCCTTACGCGTTGAACGATGAGAAATTAGTGTGCTGCTTTATATAGAGATTGTTTGATTGTTTCTACCCATTTCCTGCCATTCCTTTGACCTCACTTATGAAATCTGAAATCCCAACACCTACAACCACGTTAACCAAAAATGGACGAACGGAAAGAAAAGCAAGTAAATGGCCTGATCAGAGAGGTGTGTATCATGCTCGATCAGCTAGATCTACTCTGGAACTGCTATTGTCTTAATTGGCATCTCATTCACTTTCATTTTAATTAGTTTCTGGCATATGGAGAATATACAGGCACGCTATCCTCTTTCGATGCGGAGTGCTTAAAGCATGATCGGGCGCCTATTAAATTGGTCAATGATGCCGATGGGGACAAGAGGAATGAGAGGGTAGAGGTATGTTGTTTGGTCATTTGCTGGTGTTTGTTGAAATGCTAGAGATTTGATGGATTGCTGCTACTAAGATATACAGACGAAGAGAGATGATGTGTGCTATCATCCACTTCTCCTGCCGGTCCTTTTTTGCTGATCTTTTTCACATTTCTAGAATCAGCTGATAACATCATTCCGACAAGGCGACAACCAGACCTTTACCTCCTACTTCAACCAAGTCCTCCCTCCCTCCACACGCACAACAGATCCCGTCTCCCAAAAACTCGAATTCATGCTCGCAATCCATTTCGCAGTCTACCCAATAAACCCATGCATGGAATCCTCCCAGAAAGCGAAGTACAATCCACAGCAAAACATGGATGATTTCAAAGTATTCTTAGAGAAACGAGGATCAGAGATTGCGAAAATCTCACCTAGTGTTTCTAGCCAGTTTTTACCATTCTTTGCATTGCCTTATATACCGGATCCGACAAGACATCCTGGCTTTCAGGAGGTTTTTGATGTGAGGTGGACGCAGGAGCTGGAGGCGAGGTGGTTGGGAGCTGTGAGAGCCAGTTTCAAGGCTGAACTGCCGAGGATTGTCAAGTTTTTGGATAATTTGGTGAGTGCGATGTGATGTGGCGTGTCATTGCTACTGCTACGTGCGCGCTTTTTTTCATCTGTAAGACTGAGACAACTTGGATAACAATAGGATGCTAGGCCAATAGAAGAATCACGAGCCCAAACAAAACAAATCCACGAACTCGAATCACAAATACATCAACTTGAAGATCGTCACCGTCACAATTCGGTTAGGCAGCGAGAGCTACAGAATGATCATCATAATTTAATAGCCATTGCTAGTGAGCTTGTGCAGGCACTTGCTGCGTGTATTAATGGCGAACAGGTATGCATGCAGTCTCGGCTCGTGGGGGGGTTTTTTGTTTAAGAGAAATCGTCGGGACTGATACCGAAATTCTTCTCTAGATCACATCATCATATCTAACTAATATCTGTGATCGGCTTGTGGAACTTAAACATAATCATCGGATACTGGATCAGGCTGCGAAGGCTGCTCAGTTGCCACCGTAAGCATCCTCTCATTCCTCTGCAACTTTTTTTGCGTAGTTGGTTGACAAAGTATATCTGTAGACCTGCACCAGTAAAGTCACGAATGCCACCAAAACGAAGCACAAATCTTGTACTTGATGGACAATTGGATTATTCTGCTTTACATCGAGATTTGGCGGAAGAGTCTTTTGATCGTGATAGAAAGCGAGAGCTTGTTCTTCAAGCGCTGAGACTGGTAAAAGATTACCGCCGTCAATGATTGCGATACAGATACGAAATAATCCTGACTTTTTTTGGTGTTGTGTATAGAGACTAACAACTGCGCCAGACGCAAGAACAAGACAAACGACTTTATTAACATTTGTGCATGCTGATTTTTTGGGTCTTGGAAGGGGCTCTGTGGTAAAACAAAAAATCACTTACGTTCACAAAAAAGAGGTCACTAATTCAAAAGCATTAGGCGCTACCTTTGGGTCTACTCAAATCTTCTCATACACGGGGACAGTTTGCAAGACTGTTGAATGCTATATCGTCTGGATGTACAGGACGCTCGTATTTACTTTCTGGTCTCGGCGCATTGGTTGTGCCTGTATCTGATGCGTTGCAGAGAGAAGGAGCGGATTCGCCTTCTGGCAAGAATCTTCTGGGGACTTTGCAGAAGCTTAGTTTGAGGTAGTTTTTGCTACCATGCTCCCTCAAAGCCATTCAACAACTCTTATCACTCTTATGCTATGCTTCTTATTAGACGTGGAGCACAAACAGCAATGATAAAAGCCGGCTTAATCCAGTTCCTTTTGCCAGTACTATCATCACCTCATCTTCTGAGCGAATATGCTCTCGAATACGCTTCTGCACTCCTCATGAACCTGCTCCTACGAACGGCAGGTCGACAACAAACAATCGAACAACCTGATTTAATTCTCTCTGTTTTGGAAGGACTTGTACGAATACCAAATCCTGAAGTCAAGACATATGCTAATGGAGCGCTGTATTCTGTATTGAGTGAGCCCAAGATTCGAAGACGGGCGCAACAGCTGGGAGTCGGTGAATTGCTTGTTGAGATTCGAGGGCATTGTGATGCTTATTTGGCGAAACAGGTTGATTATGTGCTTGGGCAGCTTGATTCTAGTAAGTCTCGTGCGATGAGAGTTATCGCGTGTTTGAGGATAAGAGCTTTAAATCTTTTCGTTTTTTGTTTCACAGAGGAAAATCCACCCATTTCGGATACGGTTTCTGAAGATGGTCAAGATGAAGATTATGAGGATGATAATGTAGGAACTAAATCACTCGTTCGTGACCTCTTTGTTTGAAGTTGAGTTTTTTGTCTGTGTTTAGGAGCAAAACGAGGTTGGCGAAGAAGACCTGAATGATGACTTGTTAAACTTACCGAATGATGTGGTTATTGGTGATGAGCTACTGACGCAGAGATATACCCTAAATGGCAAACCACCTACGGTGGTCAAGAATGTCATGAATCCTGGTGGAATGGTTCGGACTGCTGATGTTGCTCATATTGAGGTACCCAAAAAAGCGGGGTTTAATGGCGACGTATATATTTCTGACCTTATATATATTAGAACAACTCTGCACTGGATTTACGACGTCCCCGAACACCATCACGAAACTCTACGCGACCTTCCACGCCGGCATCATCAAGACCATCAACATCTGCCGGCAAACCTGGTGTTACAACACTTGGTAGTGGTGGTATACGACGTAGTGCATCATCTGTATCAGGCTTCCCTGTCAGAGTGGTTGATAATGGTCCAGATGACGTGCCACCGGTTGGACATGGTTTGATTCCGAGGTCATCGAGAGATGCGCTGGAATTCAAGTATGCTAAACGAGAGGAGAAGAGGAGTGATGGTGCTAGTGGTGGTCATAATGAAGGGTATGAATAATTGCAGTGATGGTGTCTTTTTTCTTGCTGACCTGGAATTCTTGAATGTTTAGGCACGATGAAGAAACAACTGGATTCTCCACTCGACAAATGATTGCTAGGACACCATTGTCTAATAATTCAGTGGCTTCGCTTGTTGCCTCATAAACCAACGGTTGTAAAGGGGTCAGGACGCCGTTTGGAAAAATAGACAAGTCAATGGCGTTTGATGTGGATTTTTTGTCAGTTTGGAGAAAATGCAAAAGAGGAAAGACACATCCAAGTGCAAGTGTATTGAAGTTTAAACGATGCAAAGATATGAATGAATGGACCCAAAGTACACCGCTCGTGCTCCGATGAAATGCGATAGTTATAATTTATACTGTTTTATTGTTTGAAAAGAGGACGATAATAATATTCAATAACAAACAAAAATCAAGAGAAAGTATTTCCTTTTAGTAGTCACATAGTTCATATAGCTCACACAGTACTTTGTTAAGCTGGTACACAGGCGTTCGCCGCGTTTGACCATAGCTTGGTCATCACGTAAGTTCGAGCTACATCAAAAATAGAAGATTTAATTACTTTTCTTCAACTATGACCAACGAAAAAGCGTTCAAAACTTACTACCATCAGCAGTGGGTGATTTGACAGCATAGTTTTGACAAATGTCGCCGATTTCCATTCCATTGAAAGTGCCAGCCGTATCCACGAAGAAGCCTGGTTTGGTAGTGTTGAGATTAGGGAAGGTATCAGTGAACAATTCCGCAAGCTCATGGCCAAGAGTCAGGGTTGTAGCTAGTGTTGACGGGGCGTGGTTAGATTGCGAGGTTTTCTGGAGGTAAAAATGTACATCGCTACCTTGGAAAGGGTCAAGTCCTCCGGACGCGCCAGTAGCATGGCAACCTTGTGAGATTGAAAATGAGTAAGAACCTGACGTGGTCGGGTTGCGACGTCCGGAAAGCCGTCACAAATTTTGACCAACATAGAATTTATCACTGATTAATCTTGATTAATTCTTGTCTCATGACTCACCAACGTTACAAGGCCATCCAGTAAACGACGGTAGAACAGCGTAGGCTACCATACTGATGGATGAATATATGAGATCGAGTCATTGTATCTCAGAATGAAGCTACTCAAACATACTTGGTTGTTCCGGTAGTCTAAAAGCAGCATCCATGAACACGAAATCGGTTAATCTCTGAAAGCAGAATCATGAAACATCGAAAATTACCATATGAACACCACAGAAATCTATTGTAGACAGAAGGAAGTCAGCAAACAGAGGAGAATTAAAGAGCAGGCCCATAAGCCCCAAAGTTGCTTACCAACACACGTAGAAGCAGTCTGTTGTTTCCCTTGATAAATGGAGCTCATTGCCATTCCCATATCCGGTGCAAGCATAACTACAATGAATGGGTGTGTGTAAGCCCATTCGAACCGAAGCGAATGGTATCAAGAAAAGAATTACAACGAGATTACATATTATGATATCACTTGTAGTGAATTTGGTTCCAGCAAATGTACTAGCAATATATTTATCAATGTCGGCGGTTTGGAGCGTGCCAGACGTTACATTCCATTGCTTGTTGGTGACGCCAGCAACACCGGTGATGGAGGCCTTGGCTTGAGTAGAATACTGGGGCATTACGGACCAGAATGATGTTATTTGTGGCAAGTCCGTAAGGAACTGCGTTACGTTGGCTTGAAAAGCTGGATCAGGCGGAGCAGATCCCACATAGACGACTTGGAAGTTGACGTTTCCAGAAGTCAATTGACCTAAATAATGGGGTTGGATAAGGTGTTTTTCAAACCATCTCAAGGCCCCTTAATAATGTGAAGACTAAAAGCCAGCAAAAAGATACTTACCGCCATGATAAGCTAGCTTGACATTTGTGGGAGGAGCCGGGGCCGCGGCTGTAGCGAACGTGCTCACTCCCGCATATCCCTCTTCCTGTTGTGGAGCCAAGTTGATATTGGTATTTCGAGACTCGACACGAAGAAGGGAGGAGAGCAGACCCAAAATCAAAGATATAGTGGCCTTCATGATAGGAGCAGGTGTATACAATCTACTTCGGACACATCACGTAAAGAGAGACAAGATAGTGAGTTATTGAGTCGTCGTCTTCTCGTTGCGGCTATAGCTACTTTTACCACTACGAAATATTGAGAGAGACCAACGAACGAAGGTCAAGGAGAGAGCACTGGGATCGTTCGTGAAGCAAGGTATAGTTCGTCTACGGTGCGCTATACACCTTTTCCAATGAGTTCAAGGCTTTTCTTTGTGAATGAGATGTTTGGAGACGCAAGGAGACCAAACAGAGTCCTCTTCATCGAAGAAAATCACACTTATACTGATTCTATAAAAAAACGTGACAAAACGCGTTGTGTACCTTTTTTTAAGGCGATCGGTATAGAGTCTTACCACTTTTACATCAGAACAGAAGGAAATCAGTTAAGGATTCGGTTTATTCTATGTCCCAGTATCCTAAGCAGACAACTTATTATTACTTTTAGATGCTCGTATATATCGACGGCAAAAGGCAAAATAAGGCATGTTATAAATTGCATTGACTTTGCAAAGGGTATGTATTCCTTAAGAAACATAATGATATGAAATAACCTCAAAACGACCATCACGAAACTCTTCTGAAAACACACAGAATTGCCACTTTATGCCGGTACACATGCATTTGCACTGTTGCTCCACAATTTGGTCATAACGTATGAGCGTGCTATACCGACAAGCACAGTATTAGGTTCACCTCGAAAACTAACAAGAACGAGATTCAAAAGTTTACCACCATCAGCAGTCGCTGACTTCACAGCATAGTTTTGACAGATATCACCAATTTCCTGTCCTTGATAAGTGCCTGGAGTATCAACAAAGAACCCGGGTTTGGTGGTGTTGAGGTTCACGAAGGTATCGGTAAACATTTCAGCAAGTTCGTGGCTGAGAGTCAGAGTTGTGGCTGGTATTGAGGAGGTTAGTATGGGAAGGTAAATGTGTTGGGGGAATCTGGACAAACAAGTATCATCGGATTTTGAGTTACCTTGGAATGGATCAAGACCTCCAGAGGCCGCTGTGCATGACAGCCCTTTAGATTGAGAATCGTTTAGCACTTCATTTGTGCCTCGAAATACATAACCGGAAATTGTTGCAATTTCAGAACGGAAAGTCATGACCAACTTTGAATGAACCTTGGACTCATTCCAAGATATTTAACTCACCAACGTTACAAGGCCATCCTGTAAAGCTAGGTATTACAGCATACGGTACGATACTAATAGAAAAAAATTGTGAGATTTTCTCATACTTTGTACGAAATATATGACGCAACATATTTGTTTGTTGTACTAGTCTAGTAGCAGCAGTTGAAACAAGATGTGCGTTAGTCCTCCAAATCAGGATCATGAGACATCAAGTTAGATAATTCCCATATGAACACCACAAAAATCTGTTGTATGCAAAACGTAAATCAGTAAACAAAAGCAAGACAAACGGGCATAGCATCCTTTAAAAACGTACCGACACACGTGGCCTGAAATTGTTGCTGTTCTCCTTCATAGCCTGCGTCCATTACCATTCCCATCATCGGTGCCAGCATAACTAGTAGAGGAATCGATAAAATGTAAGCCCAAATCGAACGATATCATCGGAACAGAACGAAGAAATAAATGCTATATAGTCTCACATATCAAAACATCACTAGCCGTAAACTTGGTCCCAGCAAACGTAGTAGCCACATATTTATCAATATCAGCCGTTTGGAGCGTTCCACTGCAGGCTAGTGACGTTGGCGACGCCAGTCAAATTGGCTTTAGCTTGGATGAATATTGTGGCAGGACAGACCAGTAGGTTGGTATTTTTGGTAGATCCTGGAGCCATTGTGTCATATTGGCTTGAAACGCTGGATCTTTGGGGGGGGGGGGGGGTTGGTCCGGTGTAGATGACTTGAATGTTGAGGTTTCCGGATGCTATGGGCCTAGATAAGGGAATGATGGTTGGATGAACATGACCGTGACTGTGACAAGTCTCTGGGGTAGAATGCAAAATTGCAAACTTACCACCATGATACGCCAGCTTAACATTTCTAGGTGGCGGCGGCGCCGTACCATTAGCTTTGGCATGCGTGTTTACTCCAGAATTTGTTGCGTTTGGGTCTTGTTGGATTTTATATGGGTTTTTCGAGCACTGGCTCACTGGCTGAAATGACAAACGAGGAAGCTAGTACCACAAGAGGTAAACAGGCCTTCATGATGTTTCTGCGATGTTTATGTTGATTCAAACGCGAATTCAGATGCGATTTGAAGGCCGAAAAGATTCGAGTTTCTTCAATGAGTGGTAATACCAGTTACTGGTGTTTGGACGCAACGGCGGTTTGCACACCTGAATGTACTCGGGATACTGAAGTGCACATGGAACCGATTTATCAGTATCAGGACGAGTCGGAAATGACTTAGTCGATTGCGATCGATACACATTCCACCGACCTTTGCTCGAAAGCCCTGTTCATGAATAATAACCAACAACTGACACGGGTGAACCTGCTAGGCTATATTAGGCAAAACACACGCGGCTACTTGAATGCAACGTGTATGTATACTATGAATGCGAATAACACTTACAAAACATACTGACTATGGAATAAACTTGCTGCTACCATCAAATCCAGCATGATGGAACTCTTCTTCATCATCCTCATCATGTCCATCTTCACCAAAAACAGCCTCTAGTTCCTCATCTTCATCATTGAGAATCTTGAACTCGTATGAGTCACTGTTACCAACAATACCACCGCTACCGCCATTTCTAGTAATCCATCGATGCCGTCTCTTCCATATAGCCACGCCAGCCCATCCGATCAATCCAATGACTAGAATTGAAAATGCAGCTAGAACCCATCCAGATATGGATGATGATGACGGTGATGTTATTGGTTTGTCTGATATTGGCGACGTTATCGGTTCTATTGTTGATGTAGGAGTTGCTCCGAATAGTGATGGTATGGATGTTGACGTGGGCGATGGTAGGATTGTGGAGGAGGAGTTGATGTGTTCACCCCATAGTTTCAAGTACCATGAATGCCATATGCCTGTATTGGCAGGGTTGACTTGATCTATAACTGTTAGTGTCCATTGTCCCAACGGAGGTTCATCCCTATTCAAGAGGGATTAGGCCGAGTGTTAGCGTCTGGCATAGCAGGACATTGGAAGGAGAAAAAAAACAAGTGACGATAGCCCAAAAATGAAGATAGCCCAAACAATCCTCACGATTTTCCTGACATCAATACCACAAAATACAAACACTCTTTGTGAAAACAAACCCATGAAACTTACCAGTGCTTAACAGTCATAAAGGTCCAATTCTTAAACCCAGCATTACTAACATCTCCACTCCTCCTCTCTGCCAAATACGACACAATCTTATTCGGAGAAGTCAGCTTAGCTTCTACCTCTCCTCGTTTACTATGTGAAATACTAACTACAACTTGTACATGCTCAATCCGTAAGAGGCCGGCCTCTTTTATGAGTGCGTCATCAATGGTTATGGTATTCGACACTCCAGCCTGGTCTTGTGGAAGATTTAGCTCAATCCATGAGACTGGTGATGTCAAGATGGTGTTTGGTCCGACATTCTTCCACGTTTTGGCCATTTGAACGATTCTATTTGCGTCTAGTTTACCAAAACCGAATTTGGTGGCGTATTTGCGATCTGGGTGGTATGATGGTTGCCAGTCTGGATAGGTGAGATTAAATGGGGTTGCGGCGTTTACTATTAGATATTGTACATCTCTCCAGGTGAGGTCTGGTCGAATTTCTAGTACTAGAGCTAGTACTCCTGATACTATGGGAGCTGCTGCTGAAGTTCCTCCATGAGAGCCAGAGCATTGTCCATTTCCCTTGTCAGTCGTGTACTATATGAAGAGTGACAAAGTAAGAAGAGGAGCTGAATGACAATGTCCGATGAGCAAAAAAGAGGGAACGCTACACAAAAAACGCGATTTGTTTCTCACGAATGACCCAAGATCAAACCTAATAAAAAGCTTACTATAAAACTACCAGCTCCCGAACTGTACATAGACACCAATACAGCCGTACAAGCTTCAGAGTACGCCGGATGCCCATTCGTCCGATCAATAGCAGCCACAGTTATAGAATAAGGACTATTAGCATATCCATCAAAATTACTAGAAACGAAATCATTTGTAAGATAGGGGGTTGATGCAGAAGTTGTGAGATTGAGCAACACAAAAGGGAACCGGAGCAAGAAAGCGGATTCCCGTGGATGATGTATGTTTGCATACCAAGTATCATGAGCACCTCCCCCGTTGCCTGATGCAAATACATATAGTGAACCTAGACCTTTACGACCCTTTTCTATAGCTTGTTGAAAGGCTGCTGCAACGAGAGGGCCGGGTCCGTCTACAGTTCGTCCATCATCTGATGGACCCCAACTACATGAATAAATGTCGTTGACATTCATGGCATAGTTTACGGCAGCAGCTTCTTGTGCTTCCGTCAGATCGGCAGATAGTATTCTTACACCTAATGATGAGCAATTACGTGTGTAAGAGATCTACGTGCAAAAAAAACCCTGCGGACTTTTGGATACGAAGAACACTGATATTTCTTCTGGCGCCGCCCATCCGATTGGTCGAATCCACTTCTTCATAATAGATTCAGAAACTGGCTTCTGCGACAAGCATGACCGCCAACAGAAGCAAAAAATGGAGCTATCTTCTTAAAATATCTCCAACCGATCCACACAACATCCCCCATCCGTATGCCGTTCACATACCTGAAATTTGAGCATTGTAAGCTACACCGATGCCACACATGTTATTACGAACTGCGGCAATCTCTCCAGCAATTCTAGTTCCATGACGATCATCACCGAGTTTTGGAGTTGGTAGTGGTTCATTGTCATTGAAATCGTATGATCCAGCTGCGTTCTAAATGATTTGGATGCTGGCTGAGTACATGGGTACACGAGGCAAAATAAAACCAGCTCCAGCACCGCAGCATAGCTTACAAAGTTTGCTTTCAGATCATCATGTTCGTAATCCAGGCCATCATCTAGTACACAAACAACACTTCCGTTTCCAGAGATGCCTTCATCCCAAACAGGAGATATGTTGATGTCGTTAGAGAGCTGATCTCGATTGAACTAGATTACAGAGTGGATTCAGCAAGGATTGCGAAAATGCGACCAATGCGATAAACAAGGGCACACGTACAAGATGCCACTGGTTGGCTAGCCCCGGATCATGAATAGCGAGACGATCTGTGACATTTTCAAACATGGCGAGCTCCGGACTAGGAGCACTAGTGTCGAGCAGGCCCCCAGATCTCTTGTATCTCCTTCTCGGTATCTGTTCCTGCGCCCAGGAAACATGAGGATGCTGTATTAGCGTATCGGTGATTTCCTCCATGTGTATCTGCTGCTGTTCCTGTCGTCGTATTCTGTGATTTGTTGATGCTTCGGCCGACGACCACACATGCTCCTTCCCTTTTGGCATTGAGAGAAGGTAGTGACGAGGTAATTCCCCTATTCTGGTTAGGAGAGTGCATCCAGAATGAAGGGCGACCTGCTTTGCCTTGCTGCGATATAGCTCTTCATGGTCATCATCGCTGCCACTCTCAGAATGCACTTCGATGGCATGGTAGTAGTAATTGTCGTGATCCAAGATGGGAAAGTCGGCTGCATTCACACTACTATGTATAAATATGAGAACCCATGCGCCAATCCACACCGCATTTAACCGCATCCTGGAAAAGATCAACCTTATAAAGTGTTGATGAGTTTGGAGTGAATGAGGTGATGAAAAGTCACTGTTACTCGTAGCTGTCAAGTAAAAGAGAGGCCGTAATTGTATATTATACACCTAAATCACGTATTTTCGTACTATATTTACGTGATTGTTCCTGTTTGGTGGTGATCTTGCCGAAAATATAGTATCCAACTTTTTGAATCGCAGTATAGAGCTAGAGCGAGGAGTATAACGGAGCCGATGAGGATCTGGGCATAACGTACATAGAATATTAACTTAAAACATTAGTAATTCATGGTATGTCCAATAACCTGCTAGTCATTGTCCTTTCTCCAGAACATAAAACTGACATTACGTTGATGCACATTACATTGAACTGACTATACGGTTATTATCTACTAGGATGTACCGGCTCTAGTCCTTGAATTCTTCCTCAATCCACACACGCTGCCGGATAGGAAAGCCTACATTGAACAGACATTGACTGAATTCAAGTCGAGACCAGATGCGTACAGGCTCGCCCTCCCATTTCTCGCTGACACGACAGATCCACATGTTGCATGGTTTGGTCTGTCAGTTTATGAGGTATATTCTCCAGATAGACTTGGTCTCCCGTGTAGAACCTCGAAAACCACGCACTTTGCTGATCGCCTCCTGAGCTTAATCGGGTACCTCCATGTATTAATGTTCACACACCCCGTAGGGATGTGTAAGCAAATGGAGTCAAATCGATGCTGGAGAGAGAAGAGAACTGAGGTCCTTGTTTTGGAACAAGCTCACATCAAACCACAATACTATGCCACCCTTTCTTCTCAACAAGGTGACGATGACTTTGATTCTATAGATTCTATCAAAGCCTGACGTTTGTTTCTTACCACAGATGGTCAAATTGGTCGTCGATATCGCCAAACAAGAGTTCCCAAACGAAGATCCTGATTTCTTTGTAAACATATACGCATTGCAATTACCATCCTTGTCGTTATGTCTTACAATGCTGAAAATTGTCGCTGAAGAGTTCTCGCAATCAGGAAGACGTATGTCGACATCACGTAGAGCAAATTAATGGTTTTTGCTTATGCCAATAATCACTTTTAGAAGACGTACCAGCAGCTCGAAAAAGAGAGTTAGATATCTTGCTAAAACAGCAGGTGTCAAACATACTAGCTATAGCTGTAGACGTGTTAGCTCGTATATATCAGTCACTTCTTGTGTCATCATCTACAAGCACACCAGCTGGCTCACCATCCGAAGCCGCATTTGCCGGTGGAATGAGTCTGTACAGCCCGCTCAAACTGCCAGACGGCACATCATTCCCTCATGTCGGTATATCTCCTACACGACCACGAAATTCACCATACGGCCACGACATGTTTGTCCATGGTGGTAGAATATCATCAGAGAACGCCACCACTTCAGGACTTGCTCTTGAAGTTATACAAACCCTATTTGCATTCATACCACTTGAACAGAGTACAAGCACATATTTACCTAATACCATGGACATGCTGTTTAAATTCTCGCAGTTGAATGATGATTCGACGGTAGCATTAGGAACTTTGGCTATTGCATGCTTGAATGAATTGATGGCTAGGAATTATGTACCTCCTGGTCCTTTTGTGGATTTCTTGTTGAACGTGTCTGTACAGATGTGTGAATTGATGAGGTTTCTGACGGATGAGTCACCATTATCTACTGCTCCGAGATTGGCCGATGTAGATGAGGCGTGAGTCAATTGATTATCTCTAGGTGGTATTAGGGGTTTGACGTTGGAATCTTTTTACTCTTTTGGATAGGTACAAGAGCAAATGCATAGAATTCATACAGTACTTTATGTCACAACACTTTTCACGAGCTCAAGGACAATTCCCAGTCGAGTCTTTCTTGGAGTTGCTCTTCAAGTTCACCTTTCTCCAGGTGATGTGTTATTACTGACATCGTTGTTTTGCTCCTGTTGACTGACAGCAATACAAATTTTACTAGACTTCAGCCGATGGATTCCAAGCCTGTCTGAAGATATGGGATGTCTTTCTGGACTTTCTAGCCACGCAGAAAGAGAATGCATCCGCTACCAGGCAAGCAAAAAAATATATATTTTGGAATGAATGCTCAGCGCCTGATAACACCCATCTCCAACTCAGTAGGTACCAAGAGTGCGTACATAGCCTCATACGAGCCATAACGAAACGATGCCGGCATTCTGAAAATGCTGAAGAACTAGAAGAATTATCAGAACGGGTTGAGACTGATGAACTTGGACAGTCAGCTACTGCTTTAGATGTGTTTAGGAATAATTGTGTGGATCTCGTAGTCAAGGCAGCTGATTTATATCCAGTCTATGTATTGCAGTACTTTTATTCGTTGTTGGAGTCGGATATGACTGCTGTTGCAGCTCAAAATCTCAAACCTGGTGAGCATCTTGTAGCAAAAAAAAAAAAAGAAAAGAAACCGTAACGTACTTCTATTGACGTTGTTTTCTGTCATTTAGATGCGATGTGTACGACAATCAAAGATTTGACGACCATCAGTATCTTTTTCGGAAGACTAGCACCTCTATTCACATCCAATGTCGAAGTGGCTAGTAGTGTGACAGTCATCTTTGACAAGTTGCTTGGTCTACTGCAACAGGTTCAACCACTTGCTAATACTGGTGGCGTTGTAGGAAGCGTTGCAACTGATCTGTAAGTATAATCGTTACCTCTGTAGTCAGCTTGTGCTGATTTTTTGGATCCCTCTCATAGGGAAAAACAACTCTTCCAAATGCTGGTACTGAATATACATTGGATTGCAATGGTGAATGCTATGACGAGAGATAATGCTGAAAAGGCATCACAGTTTAAGGATTTTGTCGTGAGAATGGTGTCGCTGAGTTTGATTTCGTTGGGACAGCAGGTAAGCACAAAAACAGCCCTTACCATATCAAGATACACGCTATAAACTGTTCTCAATAGTCGCCTGATGTTGCATACTCTGGTTCATCATTTATGATATCCCTGACGAGAACAGTCAAACCTGACATTGGAGAGACACCGGTTATGGTTGATTTAATACGGAATGTGCATGTACAGAGTCTCCCGTACAGGACGGATGTCTTGAGGAATGTGTATACTTTTATTACCAAGTATGTGTCCTTATGCTGCTCTTGATGATTTGCAATCCATTTGTTTTAATAGCCACTTTTTATAGCTTATTCACATTATCACAATCAATCAAACCTGATGAGAGTGAATGGACTGCACGAGCAGGAATGTTTCGAAGTTTTTGTGGTGGATTTGTTGTTGCTTTGATGAGTGAGAATGGGCAGGTGTTAGGTGAGAACTGACCTGTTTCGTCAATGCTGTTTTCATCGATAGACGTTTTTCTTCTCTCATCTAGACAAGACTCGAGTAATACATTCTCTGAATTGTCTATGTGGAGTCTTCCAATCCGTGAAAGATGCACAGACGCTATCAAAGAATGTTGCATTGGAAGGTGTTGGTGTCTTGATACCGCATCTTCCTGGTCTGGTGTCGATGTACTCGAATGATATGGGTTGAGTATTTCGATTGATTTTGGTAGTTTTTTTGCTCACGCTGACTGCTTTGGTTGTTAGATGTGTTACCAACGCTTCTGGAGACCGTTCTCATGCTGTTCCAATCTCTATCGAAACAATTATTACGGCTAGATAATGCAAATGGAATGGCTGCTATCATACAAGCTGTGTTGCAACAAGCTGCCAATATGTCAACCAGTACTTCGAATGCTATTGTTGGCGAAGTTGTGACGAGGTGAGGCAAAAATAGGGGACTCAAGACCAGTGCCCACAATTGTCTAACAAGATTATCTCGCCAAGTTTGTGTCTTCTCTTCACAACTATAGTAGAAGACTCTTCAAAAGTCACCATCCGATTCTTACCAGACATTATTGCATCCGTTGTATATACCATACATCCAAAGTACTTGACCTCAGATGTGAGTTTGCGGCTGCCCTAGTATTGCTCAGTTCGTCTTGTCCTCCTTTTTGGCTCTGCGTCTAATTCCAACCCGTTCTTATTGTAGATTGACGCATTAGCACCAGCACGAACAGCATTCTACGACCTTGTATATAAAATATTGCTCGTACATTGGAGATACTTTTTCGGAAGTCAAGTTAATCGCATGTTGGGGAAGAGTGAGGAGGAGTCCAAGCATCGAGGAGAATTCATGGCACTTGTCCAGGTGTGTTGATGACTAGTTTACCAATTTTTCTTTTACTCTTCAAAGTCGAAGAGTGGAGACTCATGCCCTTATTTATCAGATCATTGCAGAATCATTCAAACATTCAGACATCTCTGTATTCAAACAGAATTTGAGTGTTTTGGAGTCGTTGAATGATAAATGTCAGTTATACGCCAAGGTATCCAAACTCATTTACTCTTCTGTGACGCTAAAAAATCATTGCCTCCCGATTTCAAATTCTACCGTCATTCTGTTTAGATTCGTGACGACGCTCTTGTACCCTTCCAACACCTGTTTCTTACAATGTTAATCTCCAAAAGCCATGACTTTTTACGGGAAGACGTGATCACGCAAGTCCTATCACACATGATATTAACGGACTTGGCCATGTTTCAGAGTACAACCATCCCACAATTTGTGAATCAGCATTGTGGGAGGATGAGGAGGGAGGATCAGGAAGTGTTGGGAGGGTATTTGGTTGCTATTCGTGTGAGTTGTGCTGCATTCTTGACATGAGGCTAAGACATGAGGCTAGCTAGTTTTCGGGACACTTAAGTGATTTTTTTCTCTTAGGATGCTCATAGTTGCATGGACAATTTGAATTTGCTTGTGAATGATTATGCTTACTTTGCTAGCCGATAACGGCAAAAATCACTCGTTTTCAAAAATAGATTGCTTTGTTGTGGTGATATTTGTGTTTCCTTTGAGGTTTCAGAGTCGAAGATTTCGTGTAGAATCCAAGGTTTCGAGTTCGTTACACTTGGTGTGGGTCTGTGAAAGGTCAAGCATAGCCTCGTTTTGGACCTTGGCAATTGAAACGGGGCCAACAGCCCGCTCACACATAGATCGTCGCAGATTCATTTCTTGCACTGCGGGTCCTTAATGCAATGTATAGTGACCCAAAATCGCCTGAAAACGAAGTAGCCCTATAGCTGCGCGCCAATTTACTGTACATTTTCGATATATATTTTCTTGAGCTTATACAAACGAATCAATAGCACACTTTTAAAGGTTTTTGTCTTGTCTATATATAGCTAGTTGAATTTGTCTCAACCAGTTCAGTGGTCGTGAGGGTCTTCTTGTTGTTGAGGTGGATCAATCTTGATCATATCACTAAAGAGTTGGGGGTAGTGAATCGTTAGGTCATTGTGTATGATGAGTACTTTTTGTCCTTCCATGCTGCACCAGAAGAAGAAACAGTCAAGAATCAAACAAGGAACTTACTCGATACGAAGCAATGCAATAGCCGCCTCAGTAGCAGCCTTCAATGACTTGATTTTGGACATGGCAGGCTCCAAGATACCTTCCTTGAGATTGTCTCTCAAAGTGCCCTTGATCAACTCAAGACCGTACCACTTCAATGCACGTTTGGGAGAGCCTTCAGGAGCTGTTTGAGCTGCATTGTGATAGGCTCGAAGTTTGGATACCAGATCTGTAGAGTCCTTGGCAGCATTTACAGCCAAGGTCTTAGGAATTACAAGTAGCGCATTAGCGTATTCGGCGATGGCCAATTGTTCACGGGAACCCTGGTAAATAAGGAGTGGGGTGTTATCAGAAGGTAAGATGATCAGGCACTAGGTCGAAAGATGCTCGCTGGAACGCAGTTATTGTTCGCACGCCTGACAGCGGTCGTCTTCAAGTATCCAAACCGATTTTCACCTACCAAGGTAGTAGCAAAGTTTTCCAAATATATAGACAAGGCAGTCTCAACAGCACCACCACCAGGAACGACAGCATTCGACTCCAAGGTACGCTTGACGGCTGCCAAACAATCATGGATAGATCTCTCCATTTCATCCAACATATAATCGTTAGCACCTCGCAAGATAATGGAAGCCGAGGAATGAGCCTTGGTTCCTTTAATCATGATACATTCATCATCTGAGATACGTTCTTGGACGACTTCTTCAGCGTGTCCGAGATAAGATGCTTCGAATGTCTCATCGCCATCCAAGTTGGCTAAAGTCGACAAGAAGGTCGCTAAGAGTAACAAAAAGTTAGTTCGCGGTCTCCAAAGATGCCATCTGGTCGATCAAGTGTTTTTTTTTTGTGCTGAAACATTTTTCAAAAACGTTGCTAGCAACCCACCTCCAGTAGCCTTTGCAATACGCTTCATATCTTCCTTCTTGACACGTCGAACAGCGATAGCACCAGCTTCGACAAATAATTTAAGACACAAGTCATCGATACCCTTGGTGGTAAGGACAACATTAGCACCAGAATCCAAGATTTTCTTGATGCGTTCAGTGGTGATATCCATTTCCCTAAAGAATGAAGGTTGTCAACAAAGGGAGACGCAGCAAAAAAATTCCCATGTAACTGAAATGAAGGACGAGTTGCATACCTTCGTCGAATGGGTTCCAACTGATCGGGAGAATCAATGACGATATGGACTCCCAAGTTCATCCTGGCCTTTTGGAGATTGATATCCAAACAAGCAATCTTGGCATTGACCATTCTAGTCTTCATGCCTAAACGTCGAAAGAGAGTTGGAAGGTATCGCGACAGGTTCATAGATTTTACAAAGTTTGTTTCTGCAACGGCAACTTCCACCAACTGATGCAGAACTAACCTTGAGATGCGACTGTACAATTTAGGGCATAACCTTTAACCAACATGGATTCCTTGACACCTTTACCGTGTGCCTTGAGAATATTGACTGCTTTGAGAGGGTATTTGGCTTCGCCCTTGTTGTTTGTTTGCTTTACAGCAGTGATGGCATCCACGACCATTTCCGAGAAGAATGCATCGTCACTAGATTTCATAGGAAAGGAGGTAAGCAACAAAAGTATTAGGTCAGAACCTTGAATGATCCACGTCACACTCACGATCCTATGATTTTACTACTCATACTGGTCTTTGCGACGTTGATGAGTGATTCTCTACCCAATGAGTCGACTTTGGTAGTCATTTGTTCTACAATGAATTTGACTGCTTCTTTACTAGCCAATCTGTAACCGGTGATGATTGTAGTTGGATGAATCTTGTTTTTGACGAGTTCATTTGCTCGCTTTAATAATTCAGCAGCGATGATGACTACAGAGGTAGTTCCATCACCGACTTCCTTGTCTTGTTGTTGAGCGAGTTCGACGAGGACTCTTCCAGCCGGGTGTTCTACTTCGAGCAACTTCAATATGGTGGCACCGTCATTTGATATTGTTACATCCTATAATTAGATGATATAATTAATAGTCAGTTCACCATTGTCGTTGGAAGTGATTGGGTGTTTGGATTCATGCATACCCCAATGTCATCAACGAGCATCTTGTCCAATCCAACGGGACCCAATGATGATTTGACAATATTGGCAATAGATACAGCAGCAAGCACTATAATTATGACGATTGTGGATGATGTTAGAGTGCATTCATTCACGACATTCCATTTAATATTATTTTTCTCGCTGCGCATAAAGAACCTACCATTCTGGTTGCGCACATCAGCACCAGACGTTCTCGTGCCTCCTATAGCCAATCCAGTCTCGTTGGCCATGATCTATACTACTATTATATGGTATCTTGATTAATTCTAGTTGATGCTCTGTTTTTTGCAATGTTTGAGTGAACAGGAAAGAACATCACATTACTAACAAAGACATGCATCGTTAAAATAGACAAGATGGAGATGGATATCGACTCTTCACAAGCTCCAATAGGCTTACTTGGTCTGGACACGGTCCTATGGGCTCACGCTCGACTTTTTATTCACGACATTCAACACATGCAAAAACACGACACCCTACGAGGTATCTCATCAAGTTGGTTCGTGTATCAATCAGTGATTCACGTGTTTATGATGCGTACAATGATATTAGACATCTATTGGTACAAGACTCATCCTGTCAGGAAGCTGGAAATCTGTGGTATTGTTGCTGGACGAGAGGAAAAGGCCAAAAAGTACAGGACTCTCCTAGGTCAGTTTCATGATGAAGGGAATCCATGTCCTTCCCTCCATGCTTATGATCAAACATCTCACGTTAGTGGATGACGGAACTGGTATCATTCCTTGTGTGGAATGGACTGTGCCAGGCAACACGTCACAACTCACTCTGTTGGGGCAGCTTGTACGTGTCAGAGGGAAGATAACAGAGTATCGCGGTATTAGGCAACTCACTGTCGATGATATCTGTAAGTCCTTTGATCCACGTCACAAGAAACGCAATATTGAAAGCTCAAATATCCATCGTTAGATCATGAACCAAACGTCAACTATGAGTATCTGAGATGGCTACAAGTCATTGATCTCAAGCAGGACCTATACGATAAACCCTTCAATCCACCAAACTCCTTGATGGACTTGCTCGATGCCGATGCAACAGCCGACACCAAAGATGCGGATCTGTCACCATTACACGCCTCGGATAACGCATATCTCATACACGCACAGACCAAGTATGATGCTGCACGCAAAGAAGCATTAAGGAAAGATGCTCGTGATGAATCACTCAAATATGCTGTGCAATGGTTTATTCAATTACATTCTATAAAGAATGGGACTCTATCAATTGAATATGAGCTCATTAAGGATGAGCTCAAGACTGTAGCTGAGAATGTCATCTTGCAGCAACAGCAACAGGTATACCGTGCATTTTTATGTCTTCGACCTCTTTTGGCTCATCTCATACCGTATGGCAGGTGGAAGCGAGCACTAGCAATGCAGCAATATCAACATCCCGAATCAATTCAGCATTTGGGCGAGCTTGCAAGAGTCTTATAGCTGATGGGCTGATGTACGTGATCCCTGGTGACCGAGAAGTTTACGAAATCATCAAGCCAGACTCTAATTTGGCGGAATACATCTTGAAAGTTATGAGAGCTGAGAAAGGAAAGTTGAATGACACTCGAGAAGGTATTTATCTCTCAGAGTCCCCTTTTGGCCTTACTGTACTCATTTGCTCCTTTTTCATCTAGGTGTCTCGTTTGAGATCATTCAGTTTGTGGTGAGGAATCACGAGAAGTTTTCGCGTGTCCCTATATCCATAATACGTGAATCTATCAAGTATTTGATTACGACTAGTGATGTTTTTGAATGTGCTCAAGACAGGTATAGCATGTTGTGAGATGACCCATATCACCATATCAGGAGATTCAAGTGCAAATTGTAAAATAAAACGCGTAATTTAATAAGAAAGCATTCGATTTCCGCTGTCTATATGTGTGGGTGCTGGTGTCGTCGTTCAAAAAGGTGACGCGTTCAACCAAACTCCTAAACTAGCCAAATAGCAAATAGAGCAGCAAACAAGCAACCATGTTCTTGACGCGTTCTGAATATGACCGTGGAGTCAACACTTTCTCTCCAGAAGGCCGTCTATTCCAAGTCGAATATGCTATGGAAGCAATCAAAGTGAGTTTCTCAACGTTTTGATTTCTTTTTGGCTTGCATCGTGCAGAAGTAGCAGATATCATTTGTAATCTGAGAATATTATCAAAGGATTTAACTTCTGACACTCACTCTGTTTCTTTATCTAGTTGGGATCCACAGTCATTGGCATACAAACATCAGAAGGTGTTGTTCTCGCAGTCGAGAAACGAGTCACTTCCATCTTGATGGAACCAAGCTCAATTGAAAAGATCATGGAAATTGATGCTCATTTGGGTTGTGCCATGTCTGGTCTGACGGCTGATTCAAGGACTATGATTGATCATGCCAGAGTTGAAGCTCAAGTATGTGATGATTGCTGATTTTGCTACATTTATTTAACGTTAATATGTACTAATTGTATTCTGTATCGGTATACAGAATCATTGGTTTACATATGACGAGAAAATGAAGGTGGAGAGTGTCACTCAAGCTGTCTGTGATTTGGCATTGAGGTTTGGAGAAAGTGCTGACGGTGAAGACTCCATCATGGTATGTTTGCAGGATGTTCATGTAATAATATTGGGTCGCTGTTGTAATATCTTTGCTTCTCATTAGTCGAGGCCATTTGGTGTCGCACTTTTGATTGCTGGTATAGATGAGAAGGGACCACAATTGTAAGAGCCATCTGCATCGTTATCTATCGTGCCCTGTTGAGTGATCAATAGCATTAAACTGATCCAACTGACAATGAATGCTCGATAGATATCATGCTGATCCATCAGGCACATTCATGAGATATGATGCCAAAGCTATTGGATCTGGCTCTGAAGGTGCTCAAACGGAATTACAAGAACAATACAACAAGGTAAAAAAAAGTTCTTAAGTACGGAATATAGAAACAGTCCATCATTTTATTATGCTTCGAGTCTTGGGAACTCAACATCATACATTAACATATATTGTATACTAGTCATTGACATTACGAGAGGCACAAGTGCTGGCACTCAAAGTACTAAAACAAGTCATGGAGGAAAAGCTCAACTCAACCAATGTCCAAGTGGCTACAGTTACACCCAAGGATGGATTTAGGATTCATGGTGAAGCTGAATTGGCTGAAGTTGTCAAAACATTGTAGAAGTTTGTTGATGGTCCTATTGTGAATACAAGATTTCGCTTTTGATGAATACTGTTCGTATACTTTGGATGTTGTCTTCTGATCTTGATCAAAATCATACGATGGATTCTTCTTGTTGGAGCTCGTAAGTGAAAGAGTTTGAGTTATTATGTGCTCAAAGTGAAGTCTGTTTTGCGTCCGTATCATGTTTATTGTATGTCATGTTTATTGCCGAACTATTCTCCTCTTCATTTATTGTGATTGCATAGGCCGGCAGGTAACAGCCTTCAAGAGCAGGTGCTGCTGCGGCCGGAGCAGCGAGAGCTGGAGCAGTTGGGTGCAGGACCAATGGCAGTAAGGCTTATAGGGTTGCTGCTCGATGAGCATCAGTTCCAGCTGCCTGTGTTGGCCTAAGATAATATCATCTCAGGGAAGTCATATTGGCAAATCTTGGAGTTGTCTTTTCAAAATCCTATTACCCTATGTCAATGCCAATGCCACATTACAAATGCAAAGGTCGACATTTTGCAAAAAAAAAAACTTTCCTAACACAAAACGTACAAACACTTAAAGGTTGTTGAAGTACAGGTAAGAATGACGTTCCTTTATTCGTGTGTCTGAGCAAAGACTGTGATTGTCAGTGGGTAACAAACAATGTTGAACATTAGACATACCTGACCTACCAAATAGCTCGCCAGGTTCGTCAAAGTATAGCTGCCTCAGAAACTCCACAAATATACCAAGACAGTATCAGAAAAGGTAACATTAGGGTGTAGTGTTTGAGGCGGTTATACTCTTGCTTTGACGTATGTTCAGGGTACGCTCACAATTCCAGAGTTTTGAAAAATCGCGTCGAGCATTCGAAACTCTCAACTGATGTGTTCTGGCCCAGTCAGCCTTACTTTGTTACACTTCTTTTCTTGACATGCCCTATCTTGTAACAATGGAACTATTCATGTGTTCAATTGTTACGGGTCGTTAATGCACAGCATCTAACTTCCCTTCTTCAAGCATATTTGGGTGATGTGTTAGCGTATATTTGGTGAGCCAATGCTCAATGGAACTCATCAGATATTCCTGCCTTTTGCTAGGATGTGATAATCGTCTACTCACATCACGATTTGTTACCTATCTTGACATATGTCAACAAACCTTCTGTCACACTGTGATACCTTCATACAGATAATGCTCTCATGACAGCTTTCATGTAAATAGAAACAAAGCCATTGAAGTTTGAAACCTTCTAAGAAGTAGTCCGTTGACAGACCTTCAGCAAAACACACTTCGCGGCAAAAGGTCGCCTGCCTCAGTCTAGATCTTCCATAGCCAGAATGGTTGATTCACCAAATATGTTGAACATGTGGTGTTTTTGTCCAGATAGTGTTGGTTTTGTCCTTTCTGTCGTGAATACGGTAAGGTTGTGTCGATGCGTCATTGATGCCACGCGTAATGTAATATAAGAGGTGGGTGGTACCGACGTTTTCTCAGAGAGCTTAAGATGATGTAGACGTGATTATAGGTGGTGGCGCTCCTCGGATGTTAACCTTAACCACATCGGTGTTGACGACTTCCCCTTCCTGGCGTGGCGTGAGCGTTTCCAAACATTTCTACGTGAGGTACCTTCTTATGAGCCACTGCGAGGGCTGCTGGAGTGGTACCTCAAACACAGGAGCTTTGGCATTGGTTCAAAAATGGAGTGTTTAACGAGGACCTGTGAAAAAGTGCCCCTGACGTTTGATGTGGGCTGTCCTGGAGCGTGAAGAGCTCGCTGCTCACTGAGAAGCCACTTCAAATAGTCTTGGTCCTAATTTTCACGTGTCTATGACGTCATAGCAAAAAGTTGAATAGCCGAGCGATTTTGGCACAAAGGGACACGTAGGAGGCACTGGACGATGCGCAAGTACTCTGTTTCAACCCTGTGCCCTACCCGAGAACGTCCGACTGGCATGTGATGCTCTGCATATGACCCCTTTTAGTAATGTTTGCACCCCTAATTGGCCCCATGATCTGTTTCAAATATCTGAACAACCTATTTAAAACCTCGCACGTCCACACTCACTCTCATCATCCTCTACACACACAAAGCATCCAACACCAAAAGATGACTTCAGAGACAGAAAACATGCTTCCATATGAACTCGACAAGGTACGGCATAAACTGATTCCCCGCATCCCCCAATGCATGAAACCTTAGCCTAGAGCATGTTACTAGGAATTGAAGTTGGTTATGAAGGGACCAGCATCGCTCTTCAAAAAGCTCTCTACGACTCAATTCCGTAAACGATTTGTTGACTACTTGGCTGCGCATGAGAAGCCAAAGTTCCTCTACCTGCCAGAATATGTCGAGATTGCGTCACGTATCAATTTGGATCGACCTATTGAATTGGTGAATGATTCGGTAAGTCACGTGTTGGGAAATCGGGGTTGATAACATTTTCACTCACACGGAATTGGATGATATAGATGCCAGAGGAGAAGGCAAAGTCTATCACAAAGTTTGCAAAAGCTTTTTTCCCTGGGTTGAAGTTTGTTACGAAAGGTGAAAAAACAAGGAAAGTTAGGAAAATGCATCAGCACATAGTGGGGTTCTTTGTATTGCTTTTGTTGCGAAAAACACTGAAGCTAACCTTTGTGCACTCTTACAGTGTGTCTCCTATTCGATTCAACATAGTCGCTGATGTTGAAATGCGAGTTGGGATGAAAGTACGTGTTTTTGATGTTTTGACACGAGGCAATTTTTTCACTGAAACATGACTCCCAATCTCATTTCATAACGATAAAATAGTTCATTGCTGAAGCCATTGCTACTCAATACTTGAAAATGCGTCCATGCGCAGAATACGAATGTATTCTCAACCCTGGTGGTCGCAACCACGTGGTTTTACACTTTTGTCCATATTGTCATGAAAAAATGTGTAAATTGCTTACTTGGAGCTCCTATACTCGATCCAAGAACTTGAAGGATTTTTTCAAGTCTGAAAATCTTGACGTTGATGCTAATTGGGAAGAAAGTTTGTTCAAGTATCTCGGTAAGATTGATGACTGGCTTTGCTTTTATCATCTACGTATGCGTTTAATAATCTCATTATTTACGTTAGACGATTCTATGGTGGCTACAACATCCACAAAACGAAATCGCGCCAGAGACGCTGGTGAATTCGTACCAAAACCATTGATCAAGAAGGCTCGACAATCAGGATCAGGAAGGAAATCATCTAGTCCAGAAAGCACTCCAGAGTAAGCTCCAGATGGAATTCATATAGCGTGAATGGGTTTGAATAACACTCGACAAAATTTTAGAAACAAAATCAAACGTCCTGCAAATACGAAGAGCATCAACTCAACATCTGGTCCGGCTCGATCTTTATCAGCTCGTGTATCTCATGACACTCAAGGTACACCATCATCAGCAGAACCAAAAAACAGTGATATCAAGTATCGTGACGAAGTACGTTGCATCTCAACCCACACTCCAAATGTATTGAAATTGTTGGAACTGATTCTAACTGCTTCTCAACACGTAGATCTTAGCTTACCTCAAATCCAATGCACGTGGTGAAAGTGTGAACTGGCGCAATCTCCACTACTTCTTGAGCCAAGCAGCTGCATCAGTCTCTTCATTGGCTGCATTGGATGCTGACGTTCCCTAAGAGCAAGAAATGAGAGCAGATGCCAAACTTCATATGGCAGGAGCAACCAAGTAAATCTATTGTAAATATCATCAGTATTAGCGTAACTAGCTCACGTCTTGTATTTTAAACTTTTTGTATTCTTACCGCTGCAATAGAAATACGCTTTCGATTTCAGTGAACGTCTTGTCCTTCTTGCGTACCACTCGACACGGATAGCATAGTAATGCAAGGCCAAGTCAGAGAAGCTCTGTCCGACAGGGCGAAAGGTTGAATCTCCATAACTGCCAGAACCGCTCAACGAGAACATTTGGAACCAGCGCCAAGAGTTGAATCTTGATAAGCTGAAGGGTGTCATGCCGGTCTCTAAAGAACTGGCATGCAAAAGAACTGGCATTCTTAAAGCATGCGAAAATCAACATCGTGACAAATCATTCTGATCAAGTGATACAATTTGGTGCCCTCAACATTTCAGACAAGGATTCTATGTGGTTGAGCCACATTCCAACTGCGCTCACATACTCATGCTAGCTATACATTCAGACAAGATGTTTCCTTGCAATGACAATACGTGGTGTATACGAGTTTGGCAGGAGCAGCAGTCAAGCGATCAAAGATTGTTGACAAGAAGAGCGACGTCAGCGAGTCTCGGATCAAATAACAGGTTTCGTATATCTGACAGAGATGTAGCGGTGGCTTTTGGTGATGGGAGTAGTGTGTTTACAGGTGGTGAGCGGTGCATTTACGATGACTTTGCCAGAAGGTGAGAATACAGCCTTCTTAGGATATCCGTCATATGTAGAGATACGATATATAGCAGCCTGGTTCAATTCAAAGGTTGCCTTCCAGCTAAAGACACCGACCTTCTTCAACGATTTTTGTGCGGCGTGTTCGACATCAATGGAAGTGACTCGAGCTGATTTACGAGTGGTGATGGTAAATGCTAGACTGCATTTATATGCATCGTCTTCTGTTTAATGGCCTCTGTCTTCAATTTAACCTCTGCAGTATACCAAGCTTTTGATGTCGCTGAAATGCCAACTCTGAACGACATCTGGATTTACAATCCAGAGATCTGTTACTGGAGAATATTCCGTGGTGATTTTCAGAGGAGTGACGAATTCAACAGCTGCTTGATCATCAGCACCATCGGGTTCAAGGTATTAATCTCGTTTGGGCTTACAGGTGCAGGAGCACAAGGCCCACCAAGTCCACCGAGAAGATCCATCCTAGAGGTTCAATGCTGTGCTATGCCTGTTGATGAAGCTGAGCATAGGTTTGGCGATAGGCCTTTGGGCTATTTGGTTGTGAGTTGTGAGGAATGTTGCTAAGTCACTCTTTGCTGACTGCCGGGTTGGGGCATGATACGATGGGTAATTATTCATCAACGACGCGTCAAAACAATATTTATAACCATGCACCACGTTATCTGTCGCTAATCTTACACGCCAAACGTGCATCCCTCCTTAGTGAACATATTTCCATACACAACTAATTCGTGCGATACGACATCCATTTCCATATGTTACAAAGATTGATGCAATAGATTAATTATAATTCTATACGCTATAGCACAGATGGTGTGTGTGGGGGTGATTTCTCAGCGTGCCTAATGATCCCGATCCGATGTCAATGGTGCGAGCTCTACCGAATCAGCAGGGATATTCGAAGTCCTCTTCTTATATCTTCCGGATGGCGATGCCCTTCCATTACTAGCACTATTACTACTTGAAGCACCACCACCACTACCGTTACTCGTGCTTCCCACACCAAACGTAATCGGCTGCAACTCTGCCTGCTGACACAACTGCTCACCACCAATAGCACACCCCACCATGCTACCGATAAATGCAACCCACCAAAAGAAGAATGTTGGGAAACCACCGCTGTAAATCCACACCCCCATGAAATGGTAAAAGTAGAGCGTGCATGCGAAATCTAGACATTGGCGAGACCTTTGGACTATAAATAGCATGAATAAAGCCCTATACGTGTGATCATGTTAACTATGTTTACGTTGTGGGAGTCGAGACTAATGATGGACTTACGCTAGAGCAGCATTGCCAAGATTGGCGAGGAAGAGAGCCCATCCCAGTACAGTATCAGTGCGTATTTCTCTATAATTTAGAACATGATCCAGTGTTGCCGTTGAGCCCGTCAGAGTTTCCAGGACAAAGACAATGAAACTTAATGACAGGTAGTAGGCTGTCTGCAGACTGACTATGAGGATATGGAAGAGAGAATTGGCCATCAGATTCTAATTGATATACATTCCAGAGGACAAATGCTTGTACCTATTTGAGCAACCACCAGAATCTAAGGTTTGAATGTTAGCAAAACGCTGAAATCAATTGACAAACAATGGACGAGAAGAACATATTAGCTTACAGGGTCAAATACTGTCTTTCTGAAGGAGCCTGCAGTCGGCATTTGTACGCTCGATATGTTATAGTTGTCATTCAAGCTGAAATCACACCATTGGTTCTGCACAAGCGAGACAGAGGAAAGAACTGGCTCCTTGAAAGAGTTAGTGCTGAAAACAACTCAGGTCATGAATTTTACGAGTATTTATGCAAATGCCGTGGTTTGCGTTTATCGAAATGTCGCTCGTGTTTGACGCGTCGATCTAATCCCAACGATGACAACACCAAACTTAAGTCACCATGCCAACTGTATTTCATGCAAATATTTTACTCTGATCAATGATCAGTTGAGAGATGAAAGCAGTACCGTGGCACTGGCTAGAGCAAATCTTAGCCAGAAACCACGGTACAATGCAGATATGTGCAAATCCAAACGTGACTGTTCTTCACCAGTAGATGGCCCACCATTACGCTGCTTACTATTACTACTCCTGCTCCCATTTTTTCTCGTTTTCTGAGGCACCACTGTACCCTCTTCAGTCACAATCCTATACAGCACATTCCACATACTAGTATATGGTATACTGCTGCGCCTTACACAAGTCACGAATTCTCGTGTACTACTGGTCCTTCTTTTAATTCGCGACTGCTGAGCAAACAGTCTTCTTCGTACAGTCTCCAGCGGTAGAGTTATTCCCAGATTCAGAGTTGTCAGTCCTAGATCTGCGAGAGCATAGAGCAGCGGGCTAGATTCCATGGATATGCCAATGACTCGATATATTATGAAATGGTGGGCGTCAGCAAAGATTGGTTCGAGAGTATAATACAGGAGGGTTGGGAGGAGGCTTGGACCACCATAAAAGGCTGATAGTCCTTCTTCGTTAGATACTGTTGATATGCAATGTAAGAAGCCTTTGTATTTTCGATGGAATGGGTTGGTTGTCTACAACAGAGTTCAAAGTAGTCAGTGCTGTTTTTCGAACTACTGATTGATTTCGCAGTGGAGACTACTCGAATACGATGAATGCCAGCAGCTCGAAATCGACATGTACCTGTACAACAAGTCTACGAAGAGAAAAGGATTGTAAGCAAAAAAAAACCCTCACGTCACGCGGACGAATGCACTAGTGCTCATACCTCGTCTTCACAAGCTCAAAAGGACTCAACATCCATCCAGTAAATACGTGACTACCTATTGTGGTAGCTAGCGATGGCCACGGATTGTCTGAATGCATTAATGGTATTCCTTCGTCTACTATATCAAAGTAATCGTTCAAGGCACCCTCGATGGTGGGCTGTATCAGCACATTCAGAATATCTCGAACCCATTCGGTTGAGACTCCTATCATGATAAAGACGTTGAGGTCGACTGGCAAAAAAAGTCAAAAGCATCAATGGCGTATTACCCTTCCAAAGAGCTTGCAGTCCTAAACGCGTGTTTTTATATAGAGTCAGTTCCGCATTGCTAAATCAACTATCGATCAAAATTTCATACCTTCTAAGCCAATCAACTCGTACAACAATCCAAAGAATGATGAATCCAACGACTCAAGTTCGTAAGGCGGTCGCGTTGGATCATCATTATCGAATGTGACTCTAGTCAAATAACCAACACTATCCACTGCTCCTCCTTCAATTGGAGGAGGCTGCTGACTTGATGAAGTTGGATAGAGCGAGTCATTAACATGCGAGTCTGTCTCTGAAGATGTATCGTCTGCTCCTTCATCATCGTCATCCAGAGACTAAGGTTGAAGATGCATCAGCTGAGTTGTGTGCATCGCTGCTGACTACAGAATCTCTACTTCGAGTTTGACATCATCTCCTCGAGTTTGAACGTGGCGAGCAAATCTTGGATTGAATTGGACCAGCTATCGAGGTACGAAGTCAACCAAATGAGGTCAAGCACGTATTCATTAACTGTTATTTTGTCCAAAATCACACCTGGAGTATCGTTCCAACCTTTCATGGATGTGAATGTCAGCCCATGAAACAAGAGTCAAAACATCAACAAATGTTAAAACTACCTCTACGGGAGAGCCAATTGACAAGACCAGGAACTTTGCTACATAGTTCAAAACGCGTCAACTCAGTCCGTCTTGATCGTACTAGTAGCTGAAATGCAACGAACTTACAAAAAGCGTAATTCACTACAAAACGAAAAATTGGATAAATTTGAGCTCAAGCTTGTGAACGAATCGAAAAGCAGTGTCCATACCTAGATCGAAATCATCCAAATCTTCATTATTGTTCATGGTCTTGAACGAGTTCTTTTCTCTGGAACAAGAAGTCAAGTGTAGCAATGTCGAAGTAACGACTGTCAGTCACAGAACTTTTGAGCATCAACGAAGACATGAAGTCCACATGATTTTAGTCATTCTACTACGAATATTTACGTAATTCGGTCACGAAGGAAGCGCTGAACGCGAGGTAAAACTAAAACGACACGACCAATCGCACGTGCATCCACCAATTTCACCTTCTCCATAACTTCCGGAAGCATTGCTCCATTAGAGTCATTGATCAGGGCATGGAATCCAATCGAAGCTTCTTTTGATCCTACATGCAAAACGAGTACGCGAGCAAAACAAATCGTGGCATTTTGATCACGCATTGCTTGTACTTTCAACACAGCCTTAGCAGGCGCTGTAGTGGTATCAGGCATATTAGCATCAGTAATCAAAGCAAACAGTTCAACAGGGCACTAGCAGGTTTCCAAACTATCGAATGCGAAATGCAGCATGATTTGAATTTTTGGTAGTTGTTGAGTATTGGCACCGCCCTGAAGTTCCACCATTTCTTTACTAGTTTCATGGGTGGTTGGAATGGCTCTGGTTCTCTACCAAGTATGAAGCCGACATCGATGATGAGGAGCTGGCCTAAAGTCAAGTTTTTGATGAAAACATGGCCAGTCAGACATGGAATACCCTCCGCCTCATTGTTCAGCATGTCGTAGATAAGGATCTTGTATCAGAGAAGCAGTTGGTTTTTGCCCACTAACGAAGCACTACAGTGACCTTGTGTGGTTTGAGGTTTCGTGTGATGTCCTTCCAAGTTGATGTTTGGAGATTATGCCAACGTTACTACATAGCTTGGAGGAAGAAGTTGAGATGCAATGACAAGCAGCATGAGTAGTCCTTGAATGTTATTCCAGGCGTGTTCATAATTATGCAAGAATAGATATATATGGATCAAATCCCTTCTTCCAGCTTAACAATTAAGTCAGCTCAAAAGATACAAAAGACGTACTTAGCGCGAGGGCTAGTTCGTAGCAGATTCTAGTAATGGCTCTTCAGCCTATAACATAATATCGTGGTTACAATGTTTCAAGCGCAACCAGCTTGTCGGTTGTGTTTGGGCCTCAGAAATTTCCAATCCTAGCTAAGAGACTATATGTTCTAACCTCCTCTGCACTATCGAGAAATTTCATCGACCAGCAGGCAGAGAAAATAACTTGAGAATTGACAAGTATGCCGACGGACGCGAATCACGTCAACACCTCACACAACTGCTAGTCTTGCTCTGCAAGCATCGCTACTATACACTCAATCGCAAGGACATCGGGCCCTTACTTCTATCAGCGTAGGTAATAGTGGGTTCGATACAAGCAAATCTGAGAAAACAATTCATTTACTCTGACAGCCTTTTGCACTTAGTACGATGCCTGACATCCTGGTCGTTGGCGGATCATGTGGAGGTCTGTCGGCTGGGGTCAGCATCTTGATGAACATGAAGGACGCTAGAGTTCGCGTTATAGGTATCAAACCTCGAAATCACGTTGATGCTGTTACACTATACGCAATCTAACACTAACGTATAGAAAAGTCAAGCAATCCATTACAGGATCGTGGAGCCGGAATTGGTACGTTGTCCCAGAATGCTGGAGCCTGCCAATTCCTATTGTGTTGCTTCAAAAGGTCAACACCATCATCGTCACACCTTTAGTGGTACCTCTCGTCAGCGTCAATGCTCTGCTATTGGGTGCATTCGAGCCTGAACTGACGGATACAATACCATGGAGGAAAAACATTCCTGGTATGCTGGAGCTCTGTGGATCAAGAGAGAGGCGACTTGCAATAATTTCAACACCATTGCCCACCCCCGTAAGCCTAAAATTTGTAGCTAGAGTTTCGATTTCTTTGTTCCTCACGACACCTACACACATTCATACAACAGAGCACATCACCGCCGTGGAGAAGTACCAAACCGTCTGAAGTCTTCTGGCCAACTATTGCAACAACATATGGTGCCTTAGCTTCCGCTTTGCTGCAGCGTTACAAGGAGCTTGGAGGAGCCTATGAACAAGGAGTTCACTCGACTGGTCCTCCAGAGTACACTAGGGATGGAAAAGCGTCCATTCGTCTGAACACGGGAGAGGTCGCTACTGCCGACCTGATTGTGTGTGCAGATGGATTTCACTCAGAGTCTCGAAAGGCACTGCTAGGACGTGACGATTCAAAGTATAGTGGGTATATAGCATGGAGGACGCTCTTCCCAATATCTCGATTGCCAGAGCGCTTGAGAGAATATCTCTTCCCGCCGAATAGGCCATCAGACATGTTTGTGTGCTGCATGAAGGACCATCATAGATTGGTAGGTTAATGGGCTTAATGTGGTCCGCTTTTGTCGTCTTTTACTGAAGAACTTAACACAACGCGTGATTTTCACAACTCGTTGTAAATTGCTACCACACGTAGATTATCTACCTTGTGCCTGGACGAGACAAAGACGACGAGTCACGATTCAACATGGTTTGGTATATAGACACACCAGAGTCCGAGCTACAGGATGTCTTGACTGATCGAAATGGAGTGAGGAATATGTATTCTCTCGGTCAAGGACAAGTTAGACCCGAAATTTGTGATAGACTCTGTCGATATGCTGAAACGATTGGATTTGTGCCAGAAATGCTAGATATTGTCAAGTTCGCATTTCATCCAGACTTCTTGTTTGCTCAACCAGTATACGAGATGCCGTTAAGCCGTGTCCTTGAAGCAATTTGCTTTCTCAGATTCATTGACACCAATATTCAATAGGCCCATCAAAATGGCCTTCCCTGAACGTCGCGCTGTCTTGGTTGGAGATGCTGGAGTGTATGTATTTGATGAGTTCTATTCAACTCGCAACAACAAACGACTGATACTCTTTACAGTGTGGCAAGCCCGTACTCTGGGAATGGAACCGGCAAAGCAATGACAGATGCCTTGCTACTAGGTGAGCTGGTTGCCGCTCATGATCTTCCCAATTGGGACAAGGCTATGGCAGACTATGAAGCTGCGGCAAAAACTCTCGGGGAACGCACATATGCCATTGGAAGGTTTAGAAACAGATTCATGGAGGAGGCTTATGCAAAGTCAACTACAAAGCTGTGAGCCTGAATAATGAATGTACTCACATGTTTGACATTCAGTATTGCTCATAAGGAATGAATCAACTTTTGATCTTTTGACAACGTACCTCCATTGTGGCAAGAACTATTTAATCTTATCTTGAGTATTGGTACTTCGTACTTGGGTCGCGAGTGCATAATGTACTGAGATCAAATGTCAAAGCGAGGATGTTGCAAGAAAGGACACAAAAGTCGCACAGATTTCTGTGAAATTCATACCAAAGAGCCAGAAATCATCATATGCGTTATGCGGCAGGGCACACAAGAATAGCGAAAAGTGATTCTTGCTTGACAAGCAACAATTCCTTGACACGAGCAACTCCAGCAATCACAGCAAAAAAAGAATCTTCTCCCACAGCGAATAGGCATGCATCTTCAGTCAAGTCATACAAGCAACAGCTCGATATGACAGACATATTCGACGTCTTCATCTACATGGTATCGTGATGAGCACCTTATCACCTCATCAACGGAACCAAATTCACAAACAACATAGGATCACCTTAGGCAACTTGAAGAAACTTCTCCACAACTTGACGGAACAGTGCCCCAACGAACTCGTAAATCAATGCTTAAAAGTATTGCATGTTTGTTTCTGCGTATTTAAACAGGGCGATGTGCCAGCACAAAAAAGAGCTAATTGAAGTACAGAATTGCTCGTACTTTCAGCACAGCCTTCTCAAGTCAATAGCAGTATAAGGCAAATTAAGAGTTGACAGGTAGATCACAGTATGCTGTTGGCAGGACCATCCATTAACTCCATATACGTTAAAGGAAATGGGTTTGTAGCCATTTCGGCCCAAAAAATGACATATTCCACACGCGCGCCATTGAGGCTAGGCCACCTTATAAGCGATATTGATTGGTATCAATGCCTAGCTATAAGCATTCACTGTTCCCTAGCACAGTCAATCAGAGATCACATAGATCTCATAGGATTTGTGTTGTGCCATAGATGATCTTGCCGCCAAAAAGGGATTGAATGACAATCGGAAAGGATTCATCCCAACGAGAAACATATTTTCAATTAACCCATTCCAATATCAAATCGTAGCTTCTGATAATAAAAACCAGCAACCAAAAAGGAAGAACAAATGTTGCTAATTGATTGCATGACAATAAGCATAGTATCTCCATTGAAGTCACAGTGTGATATAATACATATTCAGCGTCTCCAATCTATAAAACAACCGTAAGCGTCTGATCAAACCACATCAAACCAAATACTCCACATCACTCACATTGAGCCCATTGATGAATCTTCTCCATGACCTGCGGAAACAGTGCTCCAACAGACTCATTAATCAACCCTTGGAAATACTGCATGGATTCTTCTTCAGTTAAATCCAATCGGAACTTTTCTTGTACCTAGAATGCATCAGAAGTTGTGAGCAAAAATAAGATACTGAGTTATTTGACAATAGGCGTACCTTGAGAACAGCCTTATCAGGCTCAATAGCAATATCAGGCAAATTAGCATCAGTCATCAGCGCAAACAAGTTCATGATAAGATTAGCAGATTTCCGTAAACTCTCAAATGCAATGAAGCAGTATGATTTGAATTTCTGGTAGTGCTGAGAGTTGGCTCCACCCATAGCTTCCACCATTTCTTTACATAGTTTCATTGGTGGAGGGAATGGTTTGGGGTCCCGACCGAGTATGAAGCCAAAGTCGATGTGGAATAGTTGACCTAGAACAAATGTTGTTTTCGCATGATAATCTGCATTTACTCACGACGTCGATACCAATGTTTCCTATACCTCCAGGTGTAAGCAACAGGTTATCCAAATGCCGATCTCCGACTCCAAGAAGGTATGTAATCACAGAGTATCCCGCTGGTAAGAAAAACAATCGGTCAGCAACAAAAAAAAAAAACACAAAAAGACCAAGAACTATTGGCAAACGCACCACAACTCTTGACATACGCATCCATAACACCCGCATTAATACCAAATGATGCACTCGCAGCATCATCTGGATTATGCTCTCTCAAGAAAGCGAGCAAGCTGTTATTATACTCAGCAAGAACGCTTGCAAGAGGGGATGATGGTATGAATTGAACAAATCCTAATTCCATGACTGAACCTTCAGAGACGGCTTTTTCCATTCAATTAGACACGCATTTTCTTTTACCGTAGTCAGTCCCAGTAGCCAAGACTTTATATGGAGTCAATTTCAAATCGAGATTCAACTTCCGTAAGAGCTTGTCCATGAGTGTGATCATTTGTACAATCAGTTGATCTTGTCGTAAATCATCACCAGTCTTGAAAATGACCTGTATTTTGAAAAGAAATTTTAAAGATAAGCAAAAAGATTGCACTTTCACACCTCGAATGAACTCACTGGATAACGAGTCCCATCAAGACACGAGAATGTTAATCTTAATGGAGACAAGGCACTCTTAAAGATGCTGGCCTCCTCTAATGTGTTGGGGAAACGTTTGAGTGACAGAACTGACGAAGAAAAAGGGCGACTGCGAATCATCAAGCACCTGGTATGATTCCAGTAACTTGTACGTTTGGTTCCAACGGTAGAGGCAGAGGAGGGAATGACAATAAATTATTCTTTGAATCAGCAATAAGTGCTCGCAATTTTTCAATCTATAGGAGAAAAGAGAGTCGTCACCAATCGTGTGATGCATCCAATGACACTCACACAGTTTACCTTTTTGGGCCTTGGATCCTTACTAGCTCTCAAATCTCTAGATATCTTGGCCAAAGTAGCGACCAACTCTGCTTGTCGTTTCAAAATATCTCGTCGATGATGACCATCAGGAATCTGTGAATCATGGAACAGTCAGATAAGGCCCAAAATAATACAGTCCATTCGAACGATTACCTCCATCATAGCAGACATGAACTGGTGAACCACCTTCCCATACATCCTGCCCACCACTCTGTCTTCACATTCAACCATCAGATACCTAAGAATGAGACAGAAAGAAGCATGTCAGTCGAACCTGATCCAAAAGTAGCTCGCGTATTTTTAGCCCCACCAATAGAAACTGATCCCCAAAACTTGATTCTTGATCGCCCGATCAATCAAGAATTCAGCCAATGGAGACTCATGTAGTTGTGATTTGCCACCAATCCCTTCAAACTTGAGTGCTTGTACAAGTTGTAACAGGTACAGTTGAAGTTCCTGAAATCAAGTGAAAAAAACGACCGTTCAATCCCCAGATCGGATCAGACTTCTCAATCCTGTTCCATCCACAAACCTCATCATCTGCCTTTTGCAATTGCCCAACTGCATAACTCCTCACACTTCGGTTCTCAAATGTTGGACCCAGCAATTCCAATGCATCTTCAACATCAATATCAACCCATGATGATAGCAAGTCAACTGCTTGTTTGACTTCTACAGAGTCGGACCATACCACACATTTCAAGAACTTGGTTAAGGCCTAAGTGAGAATGATCAGCCTATGGATGCTTCCAAGATGCCTGTTTTGGCCTGTGTACCTTCTTGTCTCGAGTCAAATAAAACCTAAACTTCCACAACAAGTCCTTCTCTTGCTTATTTAGTGCTTGAGTGGGTGGATATCGAAGCATTTTCTACAAATACAGAACAATGTCAGGGACAAAAAGAAGCGCAACACAGAAAATGGACGAAAACTCACATTCAGCTCATCACGTATCTTAGCATTAGGCTTCAAATCTCGATCTAAAGGCCCATTTCGATGACTACGTGTCAATTTACGATGCTTATTCTCTACTGGGTCATCTTGTGTTGATTCCATTCGTATGGATTCGAGGTCTGATATAATCACATATGTTGAATCGACAGATCGTAAAGACATTGGTGGTGGCAGGACGTATTCCTTTTCACTGAATACGAGCGGGAAATCGAATTGTGGTAGTTCGACGTATAAGAAGAGTTGTTGAGTTTTGAGTGTCTCTTCCTGCAGAGACGTAATTTCAGTTTCAGTAGAGTTTTGCCAACGTCGACTGACTGACAACTTACCTGATTGATTCTCTCAATCTCTCGAAAAGCAAGATGATCTAGCCAATCTGAATGAACTAAATCTCGCCGTTCATACTTTCTCATTAACTGGTGTGATGAGCAAAAAAAAACCATTAAATAAATGGTTTTGTCGTAGTAGGCACAAAATATGCAAGTCCAACCTTCTCAAGACGATCCATCTCAGTAGCACTATTCACTTTACTAGGCGTAGTCGTACTCTGGTTACCATCAGCATCCTTGTTTGGCCACATGAAGAGCTTATGTCTGCCCTTCTTCATAGTACTACAAATGGTGCAAAACATAAGACACGAGTTCACGAAGAAATTCAATTCCAACAGTTGAGCCACCCACTTGTTACGACCAAACAATGAGAATGTGCTTCCACCGACAATAATAGGTTCACGAGGTTTGTATACATTCCATACGGTGAATGTGAGCATCGATGTGACTGGCAAATCACAGTATGCTATCGGTAGGACCATCCATTCGTTCCATCTACGGATGTCAAAACAAAGCTGTGAGCCGTCTACCTAAAAACTCCTGGAAATCCTGTAACATACGTCCACTGTGACGAGAACGCCTTATACGCAGTCTTGATTGGCAATGTCAATGGCTTGTTATCAGCATGTACTTGACAAGTGATAAACAGTTCGGGCCTTCTATAAAGTGGTGTTTGGGTCAGATCACGACTCGATGACATAGCAGCTCAACCATACCCTCCATCTCGCTGCTCAGCATGCCGCAGATAAGGATCCTGCAGTAGAGCAGCAATTGGCTTTTGTGGTAGTATTCCACCCAATGAAGCACTAGAACATGGGTGTTGCTTTAGTATGTGACAAATGTGATCTGTTGATGTTTTGGAGAGATTACATTTTGACGTGAAGGAATAGGTTGAGATCCGACGATAGATAGTAGGAATAGTCCTTGAATGTTCTTCCAGGCGCGTCCATTGAGTAATATGATAGTAGCGAGATCAAGTCACAAAACTAGCTTTTGCCAAACCAATTCAACAATGATGCAAAAGATGTCGTTGGCGAGGGTGCTAGTTCGTAGTAGCCGGATGTCTATAATGGCTCCACAGGCTATAATAACAATAATACCAAGGAATATCACGGTTAGGAACGCTTCAAATAGACGGGACGTTGCTGGAGTGAAACAGGCAAGATAATTGAACCTACTTTTCAGATTGTAGTGCTAATAACTAACTTGATATGATCTTTCTCTCTTAAATTAGCCTGATTTCATTAATGATTATCTTGCGCGAGTGTTTCAGCCATTCAAATTCATTCGGGCAAGTGATTTGAAGAAAATACATCGCCTCTTGGAACAGGACACTGACAATGTTCTACGAATTTAGTGGAGAATGAACAAGATCGACAGTGCTCGTGTAGCTTACGAGAAATGCTCACATGCGTTTGAAAACAACAAGCCATTCTTTGTCAAGGGTAAGCCCAAAAAAACCATGCTTTGTTGATCCAAGATGACCATGCAATCCAATCGCGTGTTAATGCCACATGATCCTATAGAATTGGGATTACCTGATGCATTCTCCTCATGGTTTGCCATAACTGTGCTCCACGTATGGATGTACACTGCCAGACTACGAGCTGAACAAGGTGAAGGCAAGGAATTGTCGCAAGAGATATTCAATCACTTGTGGCTGGATGTAGAAATGAAGCTTCATAAGGCCGGTGTAAGTTAAGAAGGAGCTTGACTGTTGCCGTTTCAAATTGCAACTTGATGGCATTCATTCGTTTTTGCTGTGACAACTTTGATCTCACATTCACATTTCATACAGGTTAAACATCGAATAAATGCACGCATTACAGAGTTACTTGGCTCCTTTTATGGACAGACGTTGGCGTACGACGAAGGATTAGCTACAAGTGATGCCATTTTTGCTGCGGCCCTGTATAGGTAAAAAAACTCATCGGGATCTCTTCATCAAGTACGATCAGCAATACTCATTTCCACTCAAATATACTAGGAATGTGTTTGGAGGACGTGAAGTCAAACCAACTACTGTGGAAGCTCTGCTGAAATACGTCAGATCCAAGGTGCAAGTTGTTGACTCTGCCGATTCAGCTGCTATACTAGATGGATCCGTTGCTCTTTGAAGAAATATCCATGGCTGCTTTGTACATATCATATTTCATTACTTTTTCCGGATACATAGTAATCTCATATCTTGAACATTGGTGTTTGGTTTGGCGTCAAATGAGCGATGTAACGATGTAACGCGAATTGACCTGATCTTCAGGCGTGTGTCACGTAAATACAGGTTTGAAATCCATGGCTAAAGAGCCAAAAAAGCGATCCCAGCATGTTACTTCACGTTTCAAGGCACATCACTCAAGCTCTATAGCAATCATGTTGATCAAAGTCAAGGTAAGGCACAGCAACACTTGCGAGCCATCAATCCCACGTAACCCCTCCTCTTCTCATGTAGACTCTAACTGGCAAAGAAGTACTTTATTCAATTACCAATGTTAAGCTCCGGTTGAAGCTCATCCAATTCTTTGTCTACTATAGATAGAGATTGACATTGAGCCAACTGATAAGGTATATTGCATTCAGTACGGTCTCGATTATGTTGAATCGATGGCTCATTAGCAACATCTCTTGACATTAAAGGTGACGAGAATCAAGGAGCGTGTTGAAGAGAAGGAAGGCATTCCACCACCACAACAACGGTATGCCTATCTAGATTATATAATCTTTTAGGTAGTGAACTAATCGAACTCGTCTTATAGTCTGATTTTCGGTGGCAAGCAAATGCAAGTCTCACGCAATACGGTTCAACTCGTTCTCTATACTCACACCTTTATTCACCTAGGGCTGATGACAAGACAGCAGCAGACTACAATATAGAAGGAGGCACAGTACTGCATTTGGTACTAGCCTTACGAGGTGGATGTTGAGATAAAATAAGCTTGCAATCAACTAAAGCCTGAATTATATATCTTGGTTGTGGAATCTTGTTTTATTATATCTGTGTAGTGTGGATTGATTGGAAAAAATACACGATTTCGTAGCATTGTAATTACTAGCATTGATGTTCTGCCTGGCTGAGGCGTTATTCGGATCTCACAAGCTCCAACACACCATACACATAACCTACATATAGGATGGACGACTCGATAGGATCCAAAGACGATGAGTTTGAATTGGACGAGGAATCACCACATCTCGGCTCTCTAGACTCGAAACTAGACATCCTCACAGACACAATGTCAACACAACGGGAGCTCATTAACGAGCTACAGGCTAAAGCATCCATTCTACGTGTGAGTTGCATATTAAATTGACATATCTGTTTATCTTTGGATTTGTTTGTTATTGCTCTGCTGAAATGACGGGAACTTGTCTTCTTCCTGTGCAGCATCTGACCCATTTTGGTCAACACAGGACAAACTAGTGCCCACAACTTCTGCTGGCGGATCGGACACCAAGCATGTGGTCACAGTGTCGGATGCTCAACAACAGCAATTATTGAAGGAACAACAGGAACAACAACAATGTATGGTAAATGGTGTTGCAGTGTGGTGCACCAAGGTCGTATTAACTGCCCTGCTGCCAGGAACTGTTTTTGCTCCCGAATACTCACCCACCACCATTCATTCCAAAATGTAGTAAACGAAGTCAAGTATGTCGAACTACAACGTGAAGTTTCACTACTCAATCAGATCATTAAACAATACGAATCTACCCTGGACATCATTATGGGGAAGCTGCGTGCTCAAGCTGTATGTAACCAACTTGGTTGCTTTTATGCTGTCGCTGATGTTGTTGAAGCTGTTGGAGCTTCTCTGTTTATGAGAACTGGTATAGGACACATACACCTTATTTTGCATCTAGGTCATGGCTCAACGCGAAAAGATGGAACAGCAGGTCCGATTGCAAAAGGCTCTAGATGAAGAACGTGTACGTGATTCAACGTTTCCAGATACTAGATCCATGAACTTTGTTTTGCTGATACAAAGCCACGCCACATCTTACCAACAGGGCATATCACAATCACTACGAGCAGACAATACCATACTTCAGGACCGACTAGATGATGCGTTTAAAGCCATACGAGAAGCCTTGGGTGCTGCATCTGAAGACATCTCTCCCATGCTTGCTGCTCCCGTAACAAACAAGACAGTAACAAATTCGACGATATCAACTCCTGGTGGTCTAACCGCTTGAACTATAATGTAGGATTAGAGAGGGGATTAAATTGAAGAAAATAGGAGAGTAGACTGCGAGGGACAATGTAGAGAGAGGAGAGCGGTCCGATTTGTGGTGTGATATAGTGTATATAAAGTAGTTTATGTAAAGGGAGAACAACAACAACCACCACCTTTTGTTTTTGAATGCAACGGGTTAATATGTTTTGTTTTTCAGATTAAACAGGTTCTTTGCGATTACTTGAGCACAGATTCTACTTAGTTGCATATTTGTTATAGATGTTTTGTTTTTGATGTACTGCATGCATCTGCATTCACTGACAATCAGCTGGCATGAGTATACCCGGTCTTGCAACAGCCGTCAGGGTCGAATATGTGTGATGTTGAACGACATGTGTATCGCAGCAGAGCAGATCAACCCAATGGACTTGCTAAAGACACCATCGACCTATCGAGTATCGAGTCAGGAAGTGGCTGGCTTTGACCTACAAGACCAACAAAAATAGTCCAAACTTCCTCTTGTTCAAATGATTTCAAATGTGCATGTCTTACGCGATTGACCTATTTTGGTAATATTACAGTAGTAAAGAACTCATAATTACACGCCCAGACACGTGTTTCCGCGCTTTTCGTCTGGCTGACCCCCCAATCATTTCGACTATAAGAGCGGACAAAATGCAGTTTGAATTCCAAACATGCATCCAGCAAAACTCGGGCAAACAAGCAAGTGGATGAGGAAGAAGGAAGGCAACCAACTGCCAGTGTTCCTAAAACCTCATTTTGCAAACACCAACAACACCCTATAGTCACTATGTTACAGATATAGAGAACGGACTCTGTCAACCAGAATCTTTGTAGTCCTTCAAATGTCGACCATCCAACACAAAGACACAACTCTGGGGCACGCGCCATATCGATTGACAAGCAGTTACCACTCTGGCAACACCATTTTCGTAGTGGTCACCATTCAGGTATGTTTTCAACATTTGCGGCAATTTTCAGCCAACATCGGCCACAATTCCAAATGAGAAGATGCAGACCTGGATTCGACTCTAATGTGCTTTTTAAACATCCACCCATATTAATATTCATCAGATCTAACCTTCCACCTATTCCACTCTCCAAGTTGCGCTCGCCTTTCAAGCGTCCCTATCGGCAAGAATGGTTTTTTGGTAATCCAAGCAAGACCAGGAGCAGTCTCGTTCCATCTGGAATCCCCTGGTCTTGCCTCAGACTCACTCTGGATGTTCACCTACTCGATCCTCATGCACGGGCCTGGAGCTGAAAAAAAGGGCTGCTCTGAGTTTGAACGAGTCGACATCACGGTGGACTGGAGGGTAAATTTCTGGTTATGCATATGAATTTAGTGAAATTTAGGCTACTTTCGCTTCTCTCTCTTCATCTGGAGAGACCCCACGAGGTTCTGGGCATAATCTTGACCGAAAGAAGCCTGCACTACTACGGTTTCATGGACAGCTGACTTTTGTTGGCGCTCCGCAGTGTGATTGTTCAAAGCCTGCGCTTAATCACATTGTGGTGGGGTTAGAAGATTTACTGATTGTAGATGATACCGCAAGAAAAAAATCCGCTTTGTTTGATTTCCTTTCCCATTCTCGTCATGATGTCTGGTCAATAAGGCGTCATGACATTCTTTCGTAAGTGTTTGGCCTTCCAGTCTAAACACAAGGGATAGTATTTGCATTTGTGTCGTCCCTTGTTCCATTTTAATTTTGAGCGTGTGGACAAAGTTGTATTCAATTGCAATGTGTCTACATCGGTAAGTTGCAATCAATGATTCAAATGTTTCTGCAAGCAGATGTATGGATGGTCTTCCTCGTCGATAATACCAACACAACAGCTTACTCTTTGATGCCAATTAGGAATCAATCAAACTAAAAAACACCCGCCCAAAGAAGGAATTGTTGTTGAAGTGGATACCTTGTCTCACCAGGCCTCAAAACTGGCGGATTTCAGTATTTTAGCAAAACGACAACGACAAAAAGACGCGGAGACACCTCTGATGACATGCATGTACCATAAGTCATGAAAACAACAGCTGCCTCACCACAATTCGGTAGTGGTATTAGCTTCATAAAGGTACGGTGAAAGTACCAATAAGAAAAGATAGACCAAAAAAAGTAGCTGCGCGGGCAAGTGCATACTCGTCAAGTCCTTGCCAAACTTCATAAAATTCAATAAATGCAACCTCGATATCGAAGATAAGACAACCTGCTCGAATGAAATGTATAAATTAGATGCAAGACAAAGAGCAGAGTTAATATCGAGGAGGAGTACAGAGAGTGACAATCAGAGAAAGCAACGACATTGTAGTCCCGATTTGGATTGTGGCAAATAGCTTGAGCGTAACGAAACCCCCCAAAGCTTTGTGTAAATGCAAGAGTTAATATATTAATACAGCTTTTCAATGTACAAGTCACATCAAGTCCAACAGTTTCTTGGCCATAGCGGTATACGCTTGAGCATGTATACTATTCGGTTGCGTAACTGTAATAGGCGTCCCAGCATCTGATGTACTGCATACATCTGCATTTAGTGGTAAATCAGCTAGCACGGGTATTCCTAGTGTCTTGGCAGTCTTTTCAACACCATCACGACCGAATATATGTGTTGTTGAATGACATTTCGGACATTCAAAGTAGCTCATGTTTTGTACGAGGCCTAGTATCTATCAAAAGAGATGAAGCGTAAAACGAAAATCATCTTTATGGAGATATCTTTCCTTTTTTGTCTCCTCAAAGCTTCATACTTACTGGAACATTAACTTTTTCAAACATTGATATTCCCTTCTTGGCATCAGCGAGTGCTACATCCTGTGGTGTCGATACAATCACGGCACCTAAGTATGTGTGAAAAGATTTGAGGGCGCCAAAAAATCGAACCATTGTCCTAGACGAAAACACTCAATAATGTCGTCGAACCCCTTTCCCATCATACCAGTCAATGGCAATATCTGCGTTATAGTCAACTGCGTATCCCCAGTTCCAGGCGGCATATCAATCACCAGCACATCAGTACCACTCCAATCGACATCACGAACAAGTTGTTCGATTGCTTTCATGACCTATGTTTTGACAACATTTTGGTCAACCAAAAAAACGACACTGCAGACAATGGAAATGACATACCATAAGTCCTCTCCAAACGACCGCTGCGTCTTCATCGACAAGGAATCCCATTGACATGCATTTGACTCCGTAATTCGATAAGGGCATCAGCTTCTTGCCTGTATGGTGCGAAGAAGGATATGAGAAGATCAAAAAAAAAAAAAAAATGAATCACTGGTATAGAACAATTACTCGTCGAGTCCAGTTCAGCCTTGAGATTCGACAAATTCATCATGCGAGGTATCGAAGGACCAAACAAATCGGCATCGAGTAAACCAGCGGATTTGCCTAGTGATGCGAATGCGACTGCTAGATTGACTATAGTAAAATGTAAACCGATGAGAAAAATGGAACATGCAACATGGGGATGATGTGTCGATTCTAACTCAGATTGCACCAAATGTATTTACCAGCAGTAGTGGACTTGCCAACACCACCTTTCCCAGATGCGACAGCTATTATGGTAGATACTCCATCGATGGGTCGCTTAGAGGGTAATCCACGTCCTGTTCGAGGGCCTGGGCGTGGAGGGAGTCCCTAAGTTTAATTGAAGAAATCAAAATGTTGTTAAAGCTTTGATAGATCAATAAAAAGAGCGACGATCTGCAGCGAGAAATGCGGTTTATATGTGGCTTACAAGTGGGTTTTCATGTAGCAGTCGTCTTGTTGAGTGTATAGCACGTCGAAAGCTCATTGTGTGCCAGCAAATAACAAAAATTAACACTGTTTTTTTCGCTTCTCAAGAAACTTATCTGAACGTGAAATGATTATACTAACTGATTATAATTCTTGTCTAAAAAACAATTCTAAGCTATTACTATACAAGTTGAGGTCTCTGTCTCTTCTAAGGCAGCACGATATTGTGAGAACCCTATCGCTCCATGCGATCATCATCTAAACTCAAATGATGGGAAGAATTGATCTGGAACATGTTGAAGCTGTAATTGCTGAAACATTTCAGAGTTTGTGTGCTGCAAAAAAAGAAGAGTTCGGTTAATAACAGAGAGAGCACAAAACAAAAAACGACATTGACACAAGCAATGAGTTGTTCAAACACTCACATAATAAAACCCGGTTATGGAATTACGAGACTTGACATAAGCAATATAGTAGTATCCTGCAAAGCTTGCTCCTTGTATCGACTTTACTTGATGGTCTGGCACCAAGAAGTGTTCCTTCCACCTCATGAATACCACATCCTCATTCTCAAAGTCGTATACGAATGAATCATTGTTGAAGATGCGATTGTATGGGGCGAATGATGGGAATTTCATCTGTTTCCGTGAGAAACGACAAGAAAGCGAGAATTTGTTAGTGCAATACGTAATTAATTCTAGTGATTTTTTAGCCCAACATTTGCAAAAGCAAACAGAGAGAAGCGACGATCACAAAAAAGGAAGCAAATGGATTATTATAACTCACCCAATGTTGACGGTCAATCGCTTCATCGGCGTCCCACTTCCGAGTTAAGAAGCTGTATTTGGGTCCAATGATTTCAGCATCAAAGAAGGTACACAGATCTGGCCAATCCTAGGGAGTGAGCATAATACAAGTTAGACGAGACGAGGTCATGGAGATCATCTTTAACGACATGACGTTTGTTTTGTCGTTGCTGCACGAGGACAGACCCTCCGCTTTCCACAAACCGAGGAGTCTCAATATCTCGTTTCCAATGCTGATCAATGGTATATACCTGTGTAAGTCCCTTAATGTTCAAGTATCCACACAATGACGATTCTCTCAAGTCCACATGCTAGAGTGCAGGATGTTACAAACATAAGTGCCTTTCAAGCGACTACCACAGCGATAGCGATATCAAGATGAAGCTCTCGACAGATTCAAACACATACCTGGATCTCAACAGAAACAACATAACTATTATGTCCAGACTTCTGCTCTCCCACAAAGCGAGAACCAGCATACAGGGACCCAGATGTTCTAGAATACAGTCTAGTTGATATCTGAGATGGCAGAGTCACAATGGCGTCTGTTGGTATGTTTGCAGCAATGTTCGATTTGGCTGGTTTTTCAGTCTCCGTAATCTCTTCCTCTTCTACTATGACGGGTATAGGAGCTTGGACTGGCATGATGCTATATGTGCTATATAAAAGGTATGTGCGTATGCTATTGCTATGCTATATGTAGGTTATTAGCTGGTGCTCTGTTTTCGATACATTTTATGGGTGTTGGGAGTTGCATGGGCACGATATCGTGAAGGAGGACGACATCAAGGGGAGAACGAGGAGGATGACGTTGGATACACTTGGGGTGCTGGAACTATTGTTATCCTCGTGCGGAACGAACGTGTATTGTCAAAGGGACGCCAACATCAATACAATATTCGGTAACGATGCTCGTTGCATAGATCCACTTAGAGGACATCGCTTCTTCCTTGTCGAGATTACTAATATATCGTATCACTATATCATGTTCGTTCACTGTGGTCCAAATGGTACACTTTACTAGCATTACCAGATCATGCGATGATAATCCCACCTTGATGGCAATCTGTAAAACCCTTATTCCTTCTTCATTCGCTGTACTCGTATCGGCTCCTTTATCAACAAACACCTTGGACAACCTGGTGCCTACCAGGTTCATGCAAAAAAAGTACAACCCAAACCATTACGTACATCCACTCTTCCCCCGGAGTCGATCGCTACGTGATTGCAGGTCAAACTTCAAAGAATTGGAGCACAAATCAGGATTAAACTGTACGAGCGTGGACTTCTATGTGATCCTATGCTGCCAACGCAGACAAACCGCGAGCTCTTGCAAAGTGAGTCCAGCAAACTCATGCGACAGCTGGAGCAACCAAAGAAAGGTTCTGTGCCCATCATGGGTTTTCACCCTATCCTTGCTTGGTATCGGACAACCCACAATCTAACTATCCACCAGACAACATCCACTTCCTCAGCACAGTTCTGGACTCGATTTCGTTTGCTATAGGTAATTTTATTGATATTGTTTCTCGTTGATATTTTTAGAATCCGACTTGGAACTAAATAGAAAAAGGTAATTCGTTAAAACCTGTCAGAAACATGCATCATACACAACATACCTCGCCAAACTTCTCATAGTAACCAGGTACTCTCCATTGACCTCTCTTTGCCATCTTTTCAACAGTGGCGTCCAAGTCCGGCATAGCCTTTGCGACATCTTCGACAGTCAATTGCTCGACAGGACGAGCAGTTTCAATGTTTGTCAACAAGTCATTCAATTCATCGAGTTCTACAGTGACCTTTTGGACTGTGTTTTGAGCAGCAGCGATCTATAGGATGGTGGATGGATGGTGTTAGTATAGGTACTAGTGTTGGTATACTCCGATTCAACTAAACGTATAGTATCAACAGTTACGTACGGCAAGGACCTCCTGCTTTTCGATATTCTTCAATTGTTCCGACAAGTCGATAGTAGCAGGAGAAAAGTTCTTGAACGCCTTTTCAGCTTCAGATACGACCTTTTTGTTTTTCAACACACGACGGTATGCCTCGAAATCAATTGTGACTTGAGCTTCCCGTAACTCTGTAACTTGTTTGGTGAGATCTGTGTGTCGTCGACGGAATGCATTCAGAGCAGCGACCGTTTCTGGCTTGAGCTTTGATGATACACTCGCCCTAAGTTTGGAATGTTGTGAATTTTTGTTTTGCAAGTGGAAAGGGAGATGACATTTTTGGATTGAGGAGGATGCATCAGTGTGGTGAGTGGTGGCGTATGGTTGCTTACCAGTTGACTGCAGCTGCGACTGCTTTGGCTGCCATTGTTTGTTATTAGGATTCTAGTCACAAAACCACTTTCGTGTGAACTTTCGGGAAATGGAGGTTGTATAAGAGTGCATGACAAAACAAATCACGCTATTTGGTACCGTAGTCTGCCGTTAAATCACGTCGTAAAGACACTGATTACTTTAAAATCGTGAAGATGAACTTGGTTTGAGTTGAAAGTCGACTTGCTTCATCATGTTGTAAGTCCGAGTCTAAGGAACATCGTCATATGGATATATGCATTATAAAATACAATTAAATCAAACTCTCTTTTCAATTTGAAAGAACCGCCGCACTAACGTGTCATTCCAGAGCTCTTGCGAAACTCGTGAAACGCTTTCAATCTGTCTTGCTGCCGAGAGATGGGCTGGCAAGTTGACAACGTCACAGTGGGATTAGCAGCCTTATTAGGTACATACATCCCTTTTACGCTTGGTTCCTTCTCTCCATCTTGAAACTGACATTATTTCACTTTCACTCCAGCTGTTCTTGCATACGCTTATACAAAGACAAATCGGGCTCCTGATGTGTATCCCATACATTTGAGGCAACAGGCTGATGTAGGTTCTACTTCGCGTCCCTCTTTTGATTGAGCCTCATCATGGATCACTCAACATTGTCAACTCACGGTCACCAAACATCTAGGTCTCGAGGACTCGGTAAACAAGACAACAAACCTACTTTCTTGATTGAATTCTTCCCATATCTTCTCTTTTTTGCATACAGAAACAAGGGCGAGTCAGCTATCTATCGATCTCGAGTCACTCCAAATGGCACACCTCTCTTACAAGCACCTGAAGCTGGAGTCAAAACTGCTTATGGTAATCACATCATTGCAATGATTATTTATCTTGATTACGTGGAAGATCCATACAAAACCCTCAAGCTGTCAACACGCCCAAATATGCCGTTTCAGTGTTGACGTGGAACGTGTCTAACACCACCAACGATCTATAGACATGTTTCAAGTCTCGGTTAAGAGGAGGCCAAGCAAGGAGTATCTGGGAAGGCCCAACAAGGATGGAAAATACGAGTACTTTACGTTTTGTAAGTCGCGGTTGTTTTTGTCTGACGTGTCACAATGTCACAAGTGACCGAGATTATGACAATTCTTATGCAATATCCGATTTGAATGTACATATCTAATTCACATACTAATTTCATTCCTTATGACGTAGCCGAAATCAATGCTCGCGTCACTCATTTTGGATCTGGGCTGATTTCATTTTGTAAACTGGCCACTGGAAAAGAAACCCCTGTAGGCATTTATCATCGAAATAGTGTTGAGTGGGCTATCACGGATCTTGGTTAGTCGTAACTGTCGTTTTCGCCGTATTTGCATGTGTATCCTAACATATTCAAAATAGCTTGTTGTGCGTATTCTCTTATATCCGTCCCCATGTATGATACATTCGACAGTGAAGCCCTACAGTATATCATCATGAACACCTCGATTTCTGTTGTCGTGGTTGGAGGACATCTGTTGGAACGATTGTTGAGTATTGCTAGTGCATCGCCTGTAATGAAGGTATCATCCATGATCTAAAGATGCTGTTTATTGTCATAATCTTCATGATCGCCCTCATATCTTTAGTATGTCATCGTCGCCGATATGCCAACCTTGGATCCAAACATTGTCGAGAAAGCTGCTGCTATTGGTGTCACAATCTTGACTTTTGAAGAAGTCGAAGTGCATGGAAAGGCACATTTACTACAACACGTACCTCCCAAGGCGTCTGACTTGATGACCATCTGCTAGTAAGTTTCAGTGATGCGTTGGCCGTCTAGCCTACGAATGCTCAACCATCATTTCTGCGCTATTCTAGCACATCTGGCACCACTGGTACTCCAAGTACGGTCGTAGTCAATCTTTTGAGCCCATGGTGCGCAACTACTAACAAACAGTATCAATTAAACAGAGGGCGTTATGTTGACGCACTTAAATATAACAGTAAGCATCCGTGAGCTAAAACGACAGTCGTTGATATCTTACTAACACACGTTTCCCTCTGCCCCGTCTAGTCTGCTGGTGCAGGTCTCATGGCAGTTTTACCTCCAGCCTTCAGATTGACCGAAGCTGACCGTCACTTGTCTTATGTGAGTACCTTCATGCCAACAAATCAGTTTTTTGGTTGCCCGAACGAGAAGTCAACCATTGATTGAACAATATCAAACTAGCTGCCTGCTTCACACATGTTTGAAAGAAATGTGTTCCATTGTGTGACTTATCATGGTAATTCCACGTTTTGCAGGGCTGCAAAAAAAATTCCTGAATCTTTTGTATTCCTCTCTACTTTTCAGGTCTGACAATTGGCTTCTCACGTGGTGATGTAGCCAAGCTCTTTGAAGACATTGCGTCCTTCCGTCCGACCGTATGGATAATGAAGCTATACCTTGGCAAATCAAGTCGTGTTTTTTGCTAATCATTTCCTTTTTTTGGCTAGATCTTCCCATCTGTACCTCGACTTCTTGTTCGTCTACACGACCGCATTCGTCTTGGAATTGATCGTGGCTCACCTCTTGTTCGATTCCTGTTTAATATGGCTTACTCTATGAAGAAGCGGGAATTGAATGCCGGTCGTGTTTCAAATAATACTATATGGGACAGGTTGGTGAAATTGGATCGATTTATCTTTTTGCTTTATTTGCTTCATTGAGTAATTCGCTTTCTTCAGAAGTATTGGCACTAACCATAAAATGTTTTTGCTTTCGTTTTGTGGGACAGGCTTGTATTCAAGAGGATTCAAAATCTGTTTGGTGGTCAATTGAGGTTTATGATTACTGGTGCTGGTATGTAATGCATGATCTTGAACTGATTACCTTTTTTTTCGCATCCATTAACCTCATTTCTTGGTCTAGCACCAATCTCAACTGACGTTATCGAGTTTTTGAGAATCATCTTTGGTTGCCAAGTGCTAGAGGGTTTTGGGGCTACTGAGGTCTGAAACTGTCGCGTTTCCCTTGCCTCCTCCACTCTCGTCTCACTAAGAATTCTCAATATAGACTACGGCCGCTGGTCTCATTACCATGTTTGGTGACTACAGCTTTGCATACGGCTCTCACGTTGGCACGCCCTTTGCCTCGTGTGAGATCAAACTGATTGATGCACCAAGCATGAACTATTTGTAAGGCTGTTTTCGCAAGTCAATATTACGATTCCAATTCTAATGGAGTGAGTATATAGGACAAGTGATCAGCCAAATCCACGTGGTGAATTGTGTATCCGAGGACCATTGGTCATGTCTGGATACTATAAGGAACCAGTCAAGACTGCTGAAGCTTTGGATGCTGACGGATGGTTCCATACGTACGAATTGCCTTCTTAGTTTCATTGTAATCTGCGACAACTAACCCTTTTTTTGTCTATAGTGGGGACGTTGCAGAAATACTTCCAAACGGAACTACCAAAATCATTGATCGGATCAAGAATCTGTTTAAGCTGAGTCAAGGAGAGTACTGTGCGCCCGAGAAGGTTAGTGCGACTAGTAGATTGACTCACCAACTATAAATCCCTTGCTCACAGAAAAAATCCTCCAGATCGAAACCAAAATCAAGACTCAATTCGTCGCTCAAGTCTGGCTATATGGAGAGCCCGTGAAATCAGCTTGTGTTGCGATTGTCGTGCCTGATCTTGATAACTTGGTCCCTTGGGCGAAACAGAATGGTCTCACACACGATCCGGAAGAGTTGATTAAACTTGAGAAAGTCAGGAATCTGATTCATCAAGATATGCTCGAGTTGGGTAAAGACGTAAGTATTCGCGCTTTTTGCGTCGATTTGCTCTACCGACTCATACCTTGTTTGCATGTTTCGTTTCAGAATGGTCTTCTTGGATTCGAACTTCCAAAAGCTATTACCTTGACTACAGAAACCTTTACTGTCGAGAACGGTTTGCTGACTCCTACATTCAAAAGCAAACGCCCTCAACTAAAGAGCAAGTTCCAGAAGGAGTTGGATGCAATGTATAAGGAGTTGGGGTTGTGAACAGTTTGGTTTTTTGTGGTTTGTGTGGTTGAAAGGAATTCTATATTAAAAGAAAGTCTATAGTGCCTCCATTGTCAAAATATAGTCTCTGCTTGAATGAACAATGTTTTTGTAACAAAATGGCTCTATATTTTGCTATGTTGAGCGTCATCGATACCGAGATTGTACACCTTGATTGCATTGTCATGCAAGATGCTTTTTCGTGCCGTTGCCGAGATGTTCATGTTATGTAATGATTTCATCTCCATGTCCCAGTTGTATGGTATCTTCGGGTTGGAGAGTGTCAGCAGCACGCAAAAAAAGGTTGTCCCTTTCCGAATACTTACATTTGGAAAGTCACTACCATACAACACCTGCGATGAATTATGACGTAACAGATCCTCCAAGTGCTCTCTCGGCGGTACTGATATTGGAAAGTAGCCCCTACCAACCAAGAAAAAACCCCCCTTCAACCACATGCCTCATACAAGGTACGCCAGAATCAATTGCTCACCCCACAGCCATTGTACTATCCAAGTACAGATTCGGAAACCGTGAAAGCAACGCAAAGTACTCGTCAACTTCATCCATTCCCAGATGTGGGACTACGAACTTGAGTTCAGGGTATCTTTTCAGTACGTCTTGGGTTCTGGATACATGCATAAATTCGTGGGATTCTGATGGAGGATGGTGGTGGCGGTCAGCAAAAAAACGGCATCTAAACACTCTCACATGTTGCAAGTTGTATGACAACTACCTCTTGCGTGACCAGGAGAATCAGGCTCACGTCCAACATGGAAAAGTACAGGCCTGTTATGCCTAGAAAGAAAGTAGAGCGTTCAGACTCGTTTGTACAGACAAAAAAACTACCTACATGACAAACGTACCGTATACACGTCTGATAAATCTCATCACACCGCACATCATCAGGCGAGATAACCATTACGTGAGAATGTAGCTTGACTCCAGCCAGCCCATTCCCAAAAGCTTCTTCTAATATCCTCGTCGCACCGTCTTCGCCTGGGAAAACGGTCGCCAATCCCGTCATTCGTTTACCACCGAGCTTACGATTGGCGTTTGCTACCGTTTCAGCACAAAAGGTGTTGAGGCCTTGACTGATTCCCTCCTTGTGTGCGTATGTCATGACGATAGTGTGTTTTACGTTCTTGGACAGGAGGTACTCGGGCGTGTATCCTTTGAAGCGCGCTGGCCAGTAATTTGCGTCAAAGAACTTCCATACTGCGGCGAAGAGGCGCTCGGGAAAGATGTGGGTGTGGGCGTCGATCTAGTTTTTTTTGGGAAACTGATGTCAGATGTTGTGGTCCAGCTGTGTATTTGTCGTAGCGAGTTATGAGGTAGATCGAACGGTCAGGTTACCACATCGAATGGCACGCTCTCAAACTCTGGCTCTTCGTCTCTTGGTGCGTGCAGAGGCAACAAATCCTTGAGTCGCGTTGGTGGATGACATGGATGGTATTCGTGAGGCATAGTTGAAACCCTGGTACAGGCTTGTGAATGACTATGGCGAGAGGTTCGGATATTGCTTGATCTCACGGTCAATAAGATGGTTGGAGCCTTTGGAGTGTTGATGTTTTGTAGTGTAATCATTCAGAGCGAGTGTCACACATTTTTGCATCATCGCATGACGAGAGAATTGAACTTGTCTGTAGGAATTGAAGCTTTGAAAATAATTGCAACGTTAATGCAATATTGATCTCAGTTTTTTCTACGACTTAATACAGCTGATTCAAGTGGAATTTCGTATTTGCGTCGACGAAACTGGATAGAAATCTGGGTGAAGAGCCAACTTCTGCGTTGAAAGAGGGTGGAATTCATAGAAAATATTCAATCGAGATATTAGCGACGTACTGATGCGTTCAACATAGCCAATCCCAGTTCTTCTCGTCATGCACGTGGTGACATGCACGCACGGTTCAGCAACTTTCGAAACTATAGGATAGGAAACCTTGAGATTCAAGCGAGTTAGCCTTTGATGTCATTACAGCCTGGATCAGCCTCCAAATTTCCGAATGTCGGAATCTACACAGCCACCAGTTTTTCACCTTCGCCCTTTGACTTCGTCGCAAAACACCAATATCTCGAAAGCTTGAACTACCAAAGCTAGCTCTCTAAGGTGCATCATGCTTGGAACTACCGCCAAGTAAGCTCTGCCGTATTGCTTTAAGTGTAGTCTATCAAAGTTTTGACCAGTCTTGTATAGGTGCAACCACAATACGCACGACGTTTTTATCTACTACCGGGCTGAAACGGAATCAAGTTTGTCTAAACGAGTGAAATCTGTGCTTGAGAATGTGTCAAGACGTGCTCTAGGCCATTCGCTGAGTGTATTTTTGGACGTGGACTGTGGCTTATCAACAGCTGGATCTGAAGATGTTGTTTCGCCTCCTGTTATTGTGATACTGGTTAGCGATGCATCAATGAATGCTTTGAGTCAAAACGTTCAAGGAAAGGTAGTTTTAACCCAGTTTGTTGGTGTCGTTTTTGCCGTTACAAACCAACATGACCACTGTTAAACAGAAGGACGATGCGCTGTTTAGTCAGATCCTGCAGGGGATTCAGCTCTATGAAGGTGGAAAAGCACAGCTTCTGCCAGTCATGGTTGGTAGCGAGACCAAAGAATTCTCGAAATGGGCTACCGAGCTAAACTATCCCGATGCTACTGTTTTATCCGTTATGAAGAAGCTGTTTGCTATCAACGGTGCTAAACTTATACCAGACGACAAGTCTACATTATTCCTGAAACCGGTATTTGCCAAAGCTATGTCGCTACTCAACAAGTCCCCTAAACCTGGTATGTGTTGCATTGTAGTTGACACGAGTTACAATACTCAGCCACTATACAATCTTTAGACGGCAAAACCAACCTATTTCTGCCACCTCATTCACGGGCCTTTGCTGGTAGATCGTCAGAGCTCCAAGTCGTGGAGAAACTCTTGTTTGAAACGGGAGTCTGTATGTTGGAAGGTCTTCCAGGCATAGGCAAATCCATGTTGGCCAGCGAGTATTCGTGGATACACGAACGAGAATATAGTAGTATTTGGAGGATATCGCTTGATTCTGCAGATGTATTTAGGCAGTCCCTAGTTACTTTAGCAACTCGTGGTCTTGGGATCAAGAGTAGTGTGATTCCAACTGACAATCAGGACGATTTGGTGTCTCTAGTCATCGACACTTTAAGTGCTAGATCCGGATATTTGCTTATTATTGACAATGCTGATGATGAAGTGCTGGCTTCGTCACTGTGTAAACCAGCGTCATTCAACACATTGAGTGATGTGCTCATAAGTAGTCGCAAAATCCCTTCAGCATTCACCACCGCTCTTGGCAATGTATCTAAATATACAGTGTCCAAGTGGTCTACCGATGAATCACGTAAATATATCTTGAACGCTACTCATTTGATCATTCAGGACCCTGATGAAGACGCTGCCTTGAACGAGCTAGTAACGAAAGTCGACTGCAATCCGCTAGCAGTGTCTCTAGCATCGTCGTATATTGTAAATGGTGGTATTATATCGTTTAGACGATTCTTGAAGAGGGATGGTGTGGTTGAGTCGATTGTTACCAAAGTCACCTCTAGTAATCGGAACCCTGCTGATTACACAACAGCTAGTGATGCTTCTGATAAGCAAGCTGTGGTAGTAGGGGCGTCAGCATTGGGGTAAGAGATGAAAAGTCTCCCTTTAATTAGTGGTACTTTCAGCAGCGTTATAACTTTACCTTTGTTCTTACTAGTGACGTGGATGGAGACAACCACACCCATCACGATGCCTTCATATCGTATCGGCAGGTCTCGGAGTTTGATATGGCCAAGGCAATAAAAACTTCAATGGTTGAAGTTTCAACAAAACGTGTCGGTGATGCCTTGTGCGTTTTCAGAGATGCAGACTGTATCCCTCCTGGGATTCTTTGGAAGGATTATTTCGAGAAGCAACTCAAAAATAGTACTGTGGTTGTATATCTGCTCAGTAACGCTTCGATGGACATTTTGCGCAACAGTATATTTTCAAAGGTAAGTTCGGATTACTTTTCTACAGTTATCACGAATTGAGATACTGACAGGCCGCAATAACTCTATAGCGAGAGGACAATTGCTTTGCTGAACTCTCGCTGGGTATTGAGTGCTACAAGGCGAAAAGCATCAAGATACTGCCCGTTATAATTGATGCACCGGATGCTCCATTTTCACGTTGGGCTACTGAAGAGAACTATCCAGATCCGACAGTGCTGGAAGTCATGAAAGCCATTTTTGATATTGAGAGTGTCACGGTTACCGTGACTGCCGATAACTTGTACCTCAAGACAATATTCGACAAAGTGGACGAGATGCTGGACAAACCACAGCCAATAGGTAAGTTTAATGCAATCGTTCTACTTTTCACCGGTGCAGTAATTGTGTTTTTTAAAATCGTTCTATGCATGTTTATAGATTCGACCGTTGGCCTGTTTTTGCCTCCACACTATAAAGACTTTGCTGGACGAGACGACGAGCTAGCAGAAATTGAAACGCTTCTATTCAATATGCATACTGTAGTGGCAAGTGGCTGGTCTGGTGTCGGAAAGAGTATGTTGATTTCAGAATATGCATGGCTACATGAGAAATCGTACCAAGCTATATATTGGATATCATTTGAATCTCGTGAATCTGCTCGTCAAGGATTCGCAAAGCTCTGGACTCATGGGTTTGCTAATAGCGAGCCAGTCCCAGAAGATGATGATCGACTGCGCAAGTATACTTGGCAACAACTCGCTTCTCGTCATGGGTATTTGCTGCTTATAGACAATGCTGATGATGAAGAACTGGTAGAAAAGCTTTGCCAGGATTGTACAGGGTTTGGTGGTGACGTGATTATCACAACCAGATCCGAGAGCATTGGTCTCAAGTTTGGAATCGTAAATAGGGACAGTTTGCATCAGGTTGGTAAATGGTCGCCAGAGAATACGAAGAAGTTTATTCTTGGGATTACTAAGCTCTCGGTGACTGGTGATCCGGATGAAGA